CTTCCATTTCTAGCTGACAATCACAGAGATGTTAACTCCCCATCTCTTTCAGCATAAGTCACAAGAAAACCTTCAGGTGGAGGGTCACAGGTTTTTGCAAGAGGCTGCCACTGGCACATACCAGTATGTTTAATGCTAAAGGGATGTTATGATACGTGGGTTCACTCACACAAAAAGAGTATTAGATGCCATGCCTGAACTTTGCAATTTTTCCCTATTACTACTGAAGTCCCCACCAACGTCCCGGGAGCTCATCTCAACTCTAGAATCACCGTTAATGTGCACTGTGTTCCCAAACTGGGTCTTTCTAAGCTTTCCTTTACAAAACGCTTCTGATTCCCTCCCATCTGATTCTTCTGCTCTATTGTCACTTTTCTAGACCAAATAAGGAAAACTTTCATGAAGTCCATCTGCTCGTGCCACCTGTGTGTTCAAGGACGCAGTAGCTCTTTATTTCCTTTCCTATAAGCAGCAGATCCTGAGTAACCTTTGGAGACCCTAAGCATCAAAAATATTGCCTCCATCTCTATAAGTATCTTGTATCCTTTCTTGGTTGATAATTTTCTTCCACTATCAATACCAGGAACAGCAATTCCCTAAAGTTATCATGAATAAAGTATTGAATACATTGTTTTACTTTTATGAAATAGGGCCCAAGTTCCATCCTTAAGATCACCTTAATAATCCAAGACAGATTCTGGAGTTCTGGTCACTATACTAGCTCTCTTCAGACAGCAGGTAAAAGGAAGTTCGGAAGACAGAAAATACTTACCCTTTTCCCTCTAAAAGAGCTTTCTTAGAAGTTGTGCACACTTCAGTTTGTATCTCATTGGGCCAAAACTTAGTCATGTAGCCACATATTGCCATGAAAAAAACCTACTTTTCCAGCTTGCTACACCGCCCAGGACTTTGTTATAAGGAATAAGAGAGTGAATATTAGGAGGCAAACAGGCCGTCTTTCTCTCAATATCCTAATATCAGCTGAGTTTTTACATCCACAACAACCCTCATCAGGTAATCTCTCAACTGCATCGCTTTGAGCAACAAGGTACTCTGTGTGGAGAAGTGGGATGGGTAGTAGCAAAGACATCCTCCAACACTGCAGAACAGGAAGGGGGAAAAAGTCCACTGGAGACCTGAGAAACACCACTTCAGCGAGTGATCGAAGTTAGCAGTCCAAAAGAAAAAAAAAAGCCGCTGATAGTATGCCACCTTGATATGTGATCTTCCTGCCCTAAACCTATCATCCTGGTTTACTCATGAGAAAAACATCAAACTAATTTCAAAAGGGGCATCTTCCAAAATACTTGATCGGTACTCCTAACAGTTGTTAAGATCATCAAATAAAATATCCACATCCACTGGGTTTTTTTATTGTCCTTTACATTACCTATTGAAGCACAATGTTCTAAAATTTCGATTAAGTCCAATTTATCTCAATTTAGTTGCTAGTATTTTTGATGCCATATGTTAAGAAATCACTGTCAAACTCAGGGTCATACAGATATGCCCTTGCTTTCTTTTTGTAAGGCCCATCTGTTTACTTCTTCCATGAGAGGGGCAGAGAGAAAAACAGACAAGGCACCACCCTTCTCCCCCAAATAGGGTTCCTATACTGCAGCCCACTCCCAGTCCACCTACAACAGAGGTACATGTGCATACCCAGCATGCTGAGGGAGGTCCTGGGACATGAACTCAGGAATCTTCCTGTGGGTCCAGTGGTGCCACCACCTGGTCCTTGCCCTTGTCTTCAGAGAATTTTGGTTTAGTTCCTGAATTTAGGTCTTTGATCCATTTTGTTAACTTTTTTTTTTTTTAGAGATTTTTGCTATAGGGTGCAAGTATTCACTGGAGAGACAGTGAGAAATCACTCCCCAGGGGGAATGACCACACTACAATCCCTTCTCCTCCCTTCTCCTCTTGGGATTTTGGGTACACACACAAGCACATGTACCTGGCATGAGTTTCAAGCCACCAGGTCCAGGACTCCAACCATGGTCAGCCATGTGGCAATCCAGTGCCTTGACCACTACGCCCCAGGCTGGCCCCCATTTTGTTACTTTTTACATAGAGTGTGAGGTAGGAAACCAGTTGCTTTTTTTTTTTTTGCATGTGTGTATATATATCCAATTGTCCCAGGACCATTTGTTGAAGACTGTTCTTGCCCCCATTGAATGAGCTTGGGCATCCTTTTCAAGTCAATCGAGGGGCCAGACATACAGTATGGTGGTTATAGGGCAACTAGATCCTACATGGATCTAGCTTCGATTAAGTTTTGAATCTGGTAGCTTGAAAAACACACTAGAATGTGTGTATGGTTGCCCAGAATTACAAGAGGGAAATAGAGGAGAAGTGACTGCAGCATGGCCATCTCCCTAGTGGGGTCCTTCTCACTTTTCTTTCTCTGGCAAGCATGTGTACCGATGGCAAATAAACAAAAGTCAATGGATATATTTGAGCAGTCTTTTTAAAGGTTTTTTTCCCCCCTGCTTATTCAGTGTATCTTGCAATTCCATAGGAATTTTGAGATTGACTATAATTTTTCAAAAAAGGCCACTGAGATTTTAAGATTACAGTTATATCTGTAGATTGCTTGACTGACTGCTTCTTACCAAAATTCTATGTTCTGATTCATACATACAGATGTCACTGTGTTTACTGAGTTCTTGCCATTTCTTCAGGCACTACTTTGTAGTAACAATCTACAAATTTTGTACCTTCTTGGTCAAATTTATTCCTGTGTTTCATCGTTGTAACAATATTGTAAATGCAACTAACTCCTTTATTTTACTTTTTGGAAACTGATTTAATATACTGATTTCTCTCCTGTAAATTGGCTGTATTTGTTCATTAGCTCTAACAATTTTTTGGTGGACTCTTTAAGATCTACTACATATAAAATGTCATCTGTGAATGAGATAGTTTCATTTCTTCCCTTCCAACATGGACACATTTTATTTCTTTTTGTCTTATTGCTCCAGATTGACTGTACTTTTGAGCAAAATATGAGAAAAAAAATCTGTGCTATTTGTTTCTGTTGTTGTTGTTGTTTTTTTTTTTTTTTGAAGAGGTTTTCGCTATAGGGCGCATGCGCTCGCCAGACAGACAGAGAGAGTCATAGAGACAGAAAGCAAGAAATCAGCCCCCAGGGGGGATGGTCACGCCACAATCCCTTCTCCTCCATTTTCCTCTCGGGATCTTGGGCATGCATGCACACGTACCCGGCCCGGCGTGAGTGTTAAGCCACTGGATCCGGGACATGAACCGCGGTTGACTACGTGGGAGTCCAGAGACATAGCCATTATGCTAACTGCTGGTTCCCAGTTGTTGCTGTTGTTAAGAGGGTATGTGCACTCACCCGAGAGAAAGGGAGAGAAAGAGAGAAATTTCCCTCGCTAGGCTGCAATCTCTTTTTTTCCAATCTCCTTTTGGGATTCTGGCCACATGCACACGCACCTGTTCATGTGTGATCTAGTGCCTTAACCTCCATGCCACCCACTGGCCCCTGCTATTTCAACATGGCTTTCAAATTCTACATAGGAATGCAGATCTATCACTTCTGGACTCTGTAGACAGTAGGTCATGAGAAGGACAGGAAGTGCTGTAGTCTCTCTGTAGATAAAAACATGTACCATGTAAACATTCTCATGTCAACAGCATTTTCAACTAGGCACAGTAATACATGAAGAAACAAGATCTTGCACTTGTTTTGCACTATTGTCTTTAGTACATTTTAAAATATTAAGAAAACAAATTGAGAAGAAATTTTCATCTTTAAAATTTATTACACAAGCTATTCACAAAAAATGAAATTTTAATTATAAAAGATGCATTTGGGGGGCCAGTAGGTGACATAGCGGTTAATGGGCTGGATTCCCACATGGTCAACTGTGGTTTGAGACCTGGATCTGGAGGCTTGAAACTCATGCCAGATGCATGTGTGTGTGTGCCCAAACTCTCAATAAGAATGGAGAAGGGACTGCGGCCTGACCATCATCCCAGGGGATGATTTCTCATTTTGTCTCTCCGGTGAGCGTACGCACCCTATAGCAAATATTTCTCTTAAAAAAAAAAAGGATGAATCTGAAAGAATAATAAGTTATAATTAACTTTGATAAAAATAAGTATGCATATTTTTATGCATACTCCAGGAATACACTCATATTTAAATGTTCACAGTGACTGGTGTTGCTTTATGTATTACATAAGACAGTATCTGAATTACTGGGTTTTGAAAAGCATTAAATACAATATCCAGAAAAATCAACAATGAAAGGCATCTCAACTTTGAATTGTGTTAAAACCCAGAAGCTCTCATCTTAGACTACCGGTCCCTATGTCCCTCAAAAGGGGTCTGCAACACAGCCTATTTTACAAACTAGTATTAGAATGTCTCCCTCTTCCCAAAAGAATATACACTGAAGTGAATGGTTTTAGCTCAAGAAGGAAATGTACCTTTGGTATCATTAATACAAAATGTATATTTACATTTATATTCATATAACTGTATATAAAACTTATCCAAAGAATATAACTAAACACAATTTGGAAAAATATAAGCAGTTTTCAAATATAAACTCTGTGCTATTAAAAAGATACTTAACAAAGTAGTTATTAATACATTTGTTGCATATATATTTATAAAAATAAACCAAAAAATATCTACGATCTTTATCTACCCAAATTAGAATTATAAAAATGTTTAAAAAACATTAACGCTGACATTCAGCTACAGAATTGTAGTGCAGTCAGAAGTTGTTCAAAAGCCTTCCTGCAGGAGCAGTGTGAAGAAGAGGTGAGCGCCACCCTCAGACCAACCAAAGCCTGCACACTGCTGCATCCCCCACATCCAGCGCCTATGTCCCACCGTGTCACCACCATGCCCAAGAGAAAGGCTGAAGGGGATGCTGAAGGAGATAAAGCCAAGGTGAAGGACAAACCAGAGATCTGCAAGATTGTCTGCAAAACCTGCTCCTCCAAAGCCAGAGTCCAAGCCTAAAAAGGCTCCTGCAAAGAAGGGAGAGAAGGTACCCAAAGGGAAAAACAGGAAAGCTGATGCCCGTGGAAAGTTGTTAAATAATATGTTAAATGTGACATGTCAGCCCTCATTCTAAACTTTCCTGTTTAGAGCATCAAAATGAAGACTTCATCGGGTTTTATAATGGTTTTCTGATTTTGGTAGTCCATTGAGGAAATGAGTTCAAAAAAGTTGTTGTATACTGTTAACAACTGTTCGCCACGTGCAGGCTGAAATACCTGACTGTTTATGAAAAGAATCTTTAATAAAGCTGGATACAGTTTGGGGGAGGGGGGGAGCCTTCCTGCAAATCATGACTTGAACTCTGGCTTTTCAGTGAATGGGCAAGAGAAGCTAAAAAAGATGGCAAAGCCACAATGGTTAAGTAAGTTTCTAGTCTAATGCAATTAACTATTTTCAGGAAGGATCAAATTAAAAGTGCTTATTAATACAGAAAATTTCAATGTCACTAATCACTCTTAGATGCCATGAAACATTAGTTATTAAAATAACTTTATTAAGAGATTGCCAAACTTCAACTACTATTACTATTACTACAGTGCCTTGCTCAAGGAAACTTCCAATATTTATCAGTTATTTTACATGTCACTTTTCTTTCACATGTACATAAATACCAGGAAAGTTTAAATACTTTTGCTTTACTATTTATCTTTTCCTTAAAGATTCAGGGTTTTATTCTCATCAGTTATGCAGGTATGACAAAGTGAATTAAATAGGAACTGAATATAAAGAATACTGATGCCATGACATCACGATCTGGAACAACTGAAGTTTTCTACCTCTTGCTCCATTTTCTAGAAAAAGAGTAGAAAGGGAAAATAGTAAGCTTCAATATGGAAAAAGCTAAGAAACATTACTTCATTACTGCTTGTTTCAGTAAACAGCTGTAAGGCTATTAATATCCACGTACAGATCTGATAATGAAAATAAAAAGTAGTTCAATATTTAAAACTGTCACATAAACTGATTTCCTGATGGGATTTCATTATTTAAATGCCTCTTAAATGAATCTGAGATATGTTAATCTTATGTTACATTCAAATAGTTATAATCAAGGTACTGGTAAACTTGATATTAATATATTATACTTTTTTTTTTGGCTATAGTGCACATGCGCTTCCTGAAGATGATCCAAGACAGAAGGGGGCAGGGATAAAGTGAGAAAGCAACCCCTGAAGGGATGGCCATACTGTAACCCTTTCTCCATTCTCTTCTGAAGCTTTTGAGCATGGATGCACATGCACCTGATGGGTTTTCCAAGTTACCAGGTCTGGGACTCGAGCTGCCTTAATCTCCATGCCATCTGCTGGCCTGGCACTCATTCGTTCATTCATTCATTTATAATATGTAGGTAACAGTGGATTTTAGCATGTAAACTGAATACTGTATATATCAGTGAACACACAGTAGGCAATATTTTCTACTTTGTAGGACCAGTAACATAAATATGTAGGTTCCATTCAACATCTACTTTTAAAAATGAGTGCTCTAGACCCTGCTCTGTGGCCTGGTCGGTTAAGACATCGGATTCCACTTGGCCAACTGTACAGTTCAAGTCCCAGATCTAGTGGCTTAGAAAACATACCAGGGGTACACACAAACAAGTCCATTTTGCATGTCCAAAATCCCAACAGGATAGAGAAACAGGAAAGGGATTAAGGCGTGATCATTCCCATAGGGGATGCTTTCTTCTCTCTAGCACATGTAGCATGTGGCAAAACCAAAAAAAAAAAAAAAAAAAAAAAGACTCTAATATCTATTACAAAGCAAGATTAAGTAAAGCAGATGCACTGTAAAAGCAGCTACATTTTTTCATTTATACATGTAGTGGGCCAGCCCGTGGTGTGTGTGGTGATTAAGATGGCAGGATCCAGGATCTCACATGGCCAACAGTGTGGTTCAAGTCCCAGGCTCAGTGGTTTTATATAGAGAGCACTGCTTAAAATGGCCTCACTTATGCTAAGCACTTAACACCAGTATTCAAAACAATATATTTTGCCTCAATATATATTTATCTTTGTGGACCTGAAAACCGCGTTTATGAACATCTGCAAAAGCAGATGGGTGTGGTGTTTGACTGACTGGGTCTATTTTGAGCAATGCTCTATAAACTTAAATAAACATGCCAGCTAGCATAATGGCTATGTTGCTGGATTCCCACATAGTCAACTGTGGTTCGAGTCCCAGATCCAGTGGCTTAAACTCATGCCAGGCGCATGCGCGTGTGTGCCCAAGATCCCAAGAGGAGAATGGAGGAGAACGGATTGTGGTGTGGCCATCCCCCCTGAGGGGTGATTTCTCGCTTTCTGTCTCTCTGTCTTTCTGGCAAGTGCACGCACCCTATAGCAAAAAACTCTCAAAAAAAAAAAAAAAAAAGCCAGGATGGGACCAGCAGATGATGTAGTTGTTATATTGCTGGACTCCCATGTGGCTGACTGTAGTTTGGGTCCAGGACTCAGAGGCTTGAAACTCACATTAGACATGTGTGTGTGTGTCCACGATCCTGAGAGGAGAATGGAGAAGGGATTGTGGCATGAGTATCCCCTCTGGGAGGTGATTTCTCATTGTCTGTCTGTCTCTCCAGTGAGCACACATGCCCTATAGAGCAAAAATCTCTCTCTTAAAAAAACAAACAAAAAAAACATGCCAGGTGCACGTGTGTGCATGTCCAAAATCCCAAGAGGAAAATGAAGAGACCGCAGTGTCCCTATAGAGTACTTTCGTTTGCCTTCTCTTTCTCTGTCATTTCACCTACTTCTCTCTTTTTCCAGTGGGTACATTTGCTCTAAGACAAAAACTAAAGAAAAAAAAATACCAAAATGAAAAAATTTTCAGTTTACTGATACTATAGTTCTTTTTCTTTTTTCATTATAGAGACACTTTTACTATAGAGCGCATGCGCCTGCTAGACAGAAAGCAAGAAATCATCCCCTGGGGGGATGCCATGCCGCAATCCCCTCTCCTCCATTCTCCTCTTGGGATTTTGATCATGCACACACACAGCCAGTGTAAGTTTGAAGTCACCAGGTCCAAGACTTGAATTGTGGTTGACTATGTGGGAGTCCAGAGACATAACCATCATGCTATTGCAGGTTCCATTGATACTGCAGTCTTTTTATAAGAGTTTTTTGTTTGTTTGTTTGTTTTGTTTTGCTACACAGCACATGCACTTGCCAGAGAGACAGAGAGAAAGAAATAACCCCAGGGGGGATGGCCACACAGCAATCCCCTCTCCTCCATTCTCCTCTTGGGATTTTGGGCACACATGCACAAGTGCCAGTATAAATTTGAGGCCTCCGGAACGGTGGTTGATTATGTGAGAGTCCAGTGATGTAACCATTATGCAATCCACTGGCCCCCACTGATACTATAGTTCTAATGTTGATTAAAGCACAAACTACAGGGCTGCCAGGTGGTATGGTGATTAAGGGCACTGGACTCCCACATGGCCAACTGCGGTTGGAGCCCCAAACCTATCGGCTTGCTTTCTCACTTTTTCTCTCTCTCAGTCTTGCCTTCACTCTGTCCCTCTCTAATCAAATTAAAATAAATAAGTAAATAAACAAATAGATAGATAGATAATAAAGTTAAATAAAATAATTCTTTAAAAAAATGATTTATTTATTCATTCATTTATTTTAATTTGACCACACACACACACACACACACACACACAAACACATAGAAAGAGAGAGAGAGATAAAGTGAGAAAGCAAGCTGCCAGGTCTGGGACTCGAACCATGGTCGGCCATGTGGGAGTGTCCGGCACCTTAACCACCACACCACCTGTTGGTCTCAAAATAATTCTTAAAAAAACTAATGAAGTACTAGATTAAAAGTACTAGACTAATTCATGATCTACATATTAAAAAAAGTCTTTAAATACTTTTCATCAGTTAGTTTGAAGCCAAATCCCACATGGTCAACAAGGTTTGAATTCTGGCCATAGTGGCTTGAAAAACATTCCAGGCACATGTGCATCTAAGCCCCAAATCCTGAGCAATGAGAAACAAGGAAATGGATTGTGAAGTAGTTATTCCCCCCCCGAGGGTGCTTTCTCTCTCTCTCTGGCCAGCTTCTTGGCAATTAAGGGTGAAAACAAAAAAGTGTGACTCGGTATTTACCTGAATAAGTGCTGTTTTATCATAGTCCCTGCGATGCTGGTAAATGCACTGGCTGATTACTGCATACAAATTTTCCAGTTGAAATATATTGTATTCTTGACTTTTTTTAACAACAGTCTTCAAGAGAGTCTAAAAGAAAACATGAGTGTTTACATACGTGAAAGGTAAATTCAATGATACTTAATCTTGAAGGTTCTAGGGATTGTGATACAAACCAGAGAATAGACAGACCAAGCCATTTGATGAGTTATGGCATCTGCTGATTTTTTTCTCATAAAAGGTCATTACTTATGGCATGCCTAATGGAGGCACTGCCTAAAACACAGTCCCTCTTTTGGGAAGCAAGGTTACTAGAAAACGTACAAACTGAAAAGAGCCTCAATAAATGGCTTCTATAACTGACCCGAACTGACGTACCTTCATCCTGAGAGAAGCTGTACAATTACATAGAGGCATAACTGTTATGCTTAACTCCAAATAACATGGTGAACTTACATAAAATTCCTATTTCAGTATCACAAAATACCATTTTTATGGTCATGAGATTCTGAAAGCTTTCAGTTTCACTATTTTTTTAAAAAATTTTCAGAGAGACTTAAGTTTTTTTTTTTTGAGAAACTGCTCCAGGAATATCGCCCACTTTCTTCTTTAATAAGTACAGACATCGAGTTCCTAGTAGCTCTGCTACATTCAAAGAGAATGGCTTTCCTGAGCTAACTGCTAGTAGGAGGTTCACAGTGTACTTTTTTGAAGCGGATTTCTCTCTAAAATGTTTTATAAAATTCTTACCTGTACAAATGACTGATCTTTAGTAAATGTACACAGTAGTATATATCGAAAAATCTCAATGTTCTCAGACTTGAAATGTAGCCAAAATAAAATAGATAAATTCGAATTGGAATGCAAACTGTTTTTCTTTTGAAAGTAAAGAGCAGCCCAGCCATGTGACCTAGTGGTTGAAAAAGCCAGATCCCACGTGGCCCAAGAGGGTTCAGATCCCAGACCTAGTGGCTTGAAAATCTCATGGGATATGTGTGCTTGCCCCAAATCCCTACAGAAAAGAGATGTGGAAGAGAAAGGATTTGTGGTGTGACCACACCCCATTGGGGAGTGCTTTCTCCTCTCTTGAGCAAGTGCACGTGCCCTCTGGCAATTAAAAAAACAAAGTAAAGGGCAAGAAATCGTTAAGACAGCTGCAACACTCCACGTTGCTCGCTGGGGACCTGAGACTGTTGTTTAGGAGTGTCAGGGAGAAGAGTCCACCTTTCAGAGAGGATGGCTATTTCGAGAGCACAAAACTAGAGCAAATAGTCAAGATGAACCCTGAGGAGCTTACACAAGTAGTTGACGGCAAAACTGATTTAACAACATAACAGTCAAGAAAGAAGAATACTGGTACCGTCAAATGCTAAAGATATGGCGAAAGTTTTCGGTTTAAAAAAGGCAAATATCATTCAGATGTTATTTTACTAGAGTGGGGAGGATAAAAAGTCAATTCGGGGGAGGGGTAGAGAAAAAGCAGCAGCAGCAGATAAATCTCACAACATAGCAGAATCGCCTCGCTATCCTTCTGGTTCCTATCACAGATCCTCAGGCAGAATTCCTACTTTGGGAACAGAAGGGCAGTTGGGAGGAAGAAAGGTTTTCATTTCTCACGTAATTCCCACATAGCCAGCCTGCCACTAGCCCACAAGCCAGTGTTCGGGAATCCCTAATCTGCACGGGGAGAGCACTGATCTCCATGCACATACTTTTAATCGCTCCTGGTCCACAACGAGCGAGGGTGTAGGCTGAGCGAGAACGGCCAGAGCTTTCTCAACACTCACGAGTTGCTGCTGTCCTACTTGGGAACGTCGAGCTCGAGTCATTCGTAGGACACACATTTCTGGAATGAAAAGTTCAGTAACTGTCATTTGGTTCGCAGACATTACAATGTCTAAAATAAACATCAGGCAGAGTAAATAACAGGGCATGCTTACTAACGGCACAAATGACAACTTGAGGTCATTAACCCTTTCTGCTGTGGCTGGCCACAGCGGCACAGGCAGCAGGAGTGCTGCTGTATAATACGCAGGCCACATGGGAGGGCTCCGGGTTGCCTACCCAGATCTACCTAAGCACGCCAGCTACGTCCACGATCATGGCTGGCTGCAAGGTATGGGGGACGACTGCAGCATGAAGACCCTGTCTCTCTCTTACACATATGAAGGAAATAGACAACCTTAAAAAAAAAAAAAGACACTGGTTTGAGAAGTATTCCTTAAATTGAGTATTTCAGGGGGATTCTCAACAAGTTACACTGTCTTCTACTTGGGCACAAGACTCACAGAACCTAAGAGCTATAAGAGACCAATAATCTAGATCAGGGGTTGCAAACTACCTCCCATAGGCAAAATCTGGCCAACCAGTGTAAATAAAGTTTTATTAGAACACAGTCATGTCTATTTTACTGACACTTAATACAGTATTCTCAATACAATTGAGAAGTTGTGACATAAACTATATGACCCCTGCTTAGCCTAAGTTTACTCTCTGGTCTTTTAAAGGAAAAGTAATATAGACAGTATAAAAGGAAAAGTGTACTGATCCCTGATCTAGAATAATTCACAGATAAATTAGAAAAGGATCTCCAGATACATGCAAGTACCTGTCCCACTAAGAGTCCTTTAAAAAAAAATCTAATGGTGGGCCAGCAAGTGGCATGGTGGTTAATGCAGCTGGATTCCACATGGCTCACATGGTGCAATTTGAGTCCTGATCCTAGTGACTTGAAAAACTCGCCAGATGTGTGAGCAAGTGTACTCAAAATCCCAACAACGGAGGATAGGGAATTGTGGCATGTCCGTTCCCCTTGGAAGGTTCTCGCTCTCCCCCTCTCTCTCCCCCCAATATGGCTGACCAAGGTTCAAATCCAAGCCCTGGCAGCTTGAAAAACAGAGTGCTGGGTACCAGCAGGTGGCATGGTGGTTAAGGTGCTGCACACTCCCACATGGTCAACCAGGGTTCGAGTCCTGAACCTGGTGGCTTGCTTTCTCACTTTCTCTCTCTCTCACTCTCAGCCTCTGTCTCTCTCTGGTTAAATTAAAAATAAATAAATAAATGAATGAGTGAAATAAAATTCTCTTTCTTTCCACTCCCCACAAGCATACGTGCTCTCTAGTAGTAGTAGTGATAATAATAATAATAATAATAATAATGACTAAAAAATAAATAGAACAATTCTGAACCAAACATATTAAATTATATAGCCAGAGGATTAGCATTCAAAATATCCACATTTGAGAGACTACATCCTAGTCCATTACTGCTATGAATACTCAAACACACTAGAACTCTTTCCAACGAAGCCTTTGAAATAGGCTTACCTTCGAGTGTACAAGCCACTGAATAAAACCAGTATCATAAACTTAGTATTTTAAAAATTATTTATTTATCCAATTCCATTTCTTGTTATTATTATTTCTTTAATCTGACCAGAGACAGAGAGAGAAGGGGAAAGTGAGAATGCAAGCACCTCCAGGTCTGGGACCTGAACCAGGGTTGGCCATATGGGAATCCAGTGCCCCCAACCACCATGCCACCTGCTGGCCTGTCAGTGTTTGTTTTGTACCAAAATAAGTTTTTGACCCTGTTAACCACTTCTTTGCTTTATAAAGCTAAACAATATTGGGCTTTTTCAAAATCCTAACAAATCTATTATACCAAAGAAGATCCAAATGAAAAGAATTCAAGGGCAAGCAGGTGGTGTGGAGATTAAAGTGTTGGATTCCACATGGCTGACTTCATGGTTGGAGTCCTAGACGCTGTGGCTTGAAATCACACGAGGTACGTATGTATTTGTGCCCCAAATCCTGAGGAGATCGAAGGAGCAGGGACTGTGGTGTATCCATTTCCCTTTTCTCACATTCCCTCTCTCTTTTCCCTCTGGCAGGCGCATGTACCCAATAACAAAAACTGAAAAAAAAATTAAAAAAAAAAAAGAAAAACCGCTAAAGGGGAAAATCTGGAGAATATGATCAACAGAGTGAAAATAAATAATCTTGGACTTAATCTGCACTATGGGGTAGAAGAATGACTGGGTGGGTAAGAGTTGTTCTGTAACACTCGGCAAGAATACCAGAAAACTGCTTATCTTGCTTAACATGAAAGGGTAGCCTGCCAGCTTTAAAAAAAATTATTTTAAGGTTTTTGCCATAGGGTGCGTGTGCTCACCAGAGAGAGCGGGAGAGAGAGAGTCAGTGAGAGGGAAAGTGAGAAATCACTCCCAAAGCGGGGGATGGCCACGCTACAATTCCTTCTCAATTCCCCTCCTGGGATTTTGGGAACGAATATACATGTGTCCCCACTTGATTTTTAAGCCACCAGTGCAAGACTTTAACCATAGTCAGCCATGTGGGAGTCCAGCGCCTTAACCACTATGCCTGCCAGCTTTTAATACCTGCACAGCCAGGCTCTATGCTACATACTTTAGGAGGGTTATTTTATTCGATACCAAAATATTTCATTCCTCAGCAACTATCTACCGCAATTTTGCAATGAGTAAACAGACTGACAGGTTAAGTATCTTGCACAAGGTCACAAAAGTAGTGGGCTGGAGGCTCAAATCAGGTCTGTTTGACGCCAAAGGGCACTTTAAACAACCATGATTTACCAGCTCAAAAAGTAAAGAGAATGGTATTTTTTCTAAATAATGCCCATATCCTGAAAGACAAGCAAAACAAAGTGAGATGTAACCAGTTGTTAGGAATGTCGAGTGAAATATCTTTTGGCATTAGTTAGCTTTTTAATCGCAAAAGACTCACCCTTTGCTTCATTTTCATCAGAAATATCTGTTTTCTGAGAACTAGAAATATCTCCATTACAGGCAATATTACTGTTACTCTGTTCTGTGCATGCTGTATTGTTCTCAGACTCTCCAAATTCATTCTCAGTATTACAAGTCCTTGAATTACTGCTCCTCAATTGGACTTTGTTTTCAGAGGCATTTTGCTGCTTCTCACTTTCTTCCACTGAAGATTCTCCTGTGTTTCCAGTTTCATTATGGTCTACACTCGTGTCCTGCGTCTCCTCTGTGTCACTCTCGAGTTTATAATCCGGGCCATTCTGGTTGTCATCCTTTGCCTGTGAAATCCTCCTTCGCTTTGTGATGGTGCCTACATACCACTTTGACTTCTTACGCATTTTTCTCTTCAACTGAGCTTCAAAGAATTTAAAGAAAAATGGTAAAGGAACATTTAATAATCTTCTGACTTCTAAGACAGATATGAGTTATGAGAGGATAAAGAGTTTGAGAAACCAGAGTTTTGTATTGCTGGAACAGAAAACAAAAGTATAGAGAACTGTCAGAAAACGGTGGAGACATGAGCAAGGACCAGATCACAAAGATGATTCGTTATTCTAAAGAGTTTGGATTTTATTTTTTTAAGTTTACTGTATTTCTTTTCATGAGAGAACACATGCTTGAGTGAAAAGTGAGTGTGTAAGAGACAGGCACCCTTGATCATTTTCCCGACAGCCCTCTGGTTCATCAGAATCTCAAGTATCTGTGTGCCTGGTGTGTTTCAGGCTGACTGGGGACCCGAACCCCTGGTCAGCCATGTGGCTTCCAGTATTGTAGATCAGTATACTATCACCTCGGTTGCCACGGCTGGGCTTAGATTTTATCTTGAAAAAATTTAAGTAGGGCAATGACAATGATCTGTCTGATGTATATTTTAGAAAAATTACTTTGGCAGCAATATGACAAATTTACTGGAAGAAGGGTAAGACCTAAAATAGCCTATACTTACTAAATTCTTACCATGTATCAGGAACTCTTCTAAGCCCTTTTGGGTATACTAAGTCACTAAAATTTCATTTTAACCAGATGAAGCTTACTCATTATCATTTTGCAGATGAAGAAACTAAGACAGGGCCAACAGGTAGTGTAGTGGTTAAGGCACTGAACTCTCATGTAGCCGACTGTGGTTTGAATTCCAGACCCAGCAGCTTGAAAATCATGCCAGGTGCATGTGCATGTATGCCCCAAATCCCAAGAAGACAACGGTGAAGAAGAGACTGTGGTGTGGTCATATCCCCAGGGGGTGATTCTCACTTCATTCTCCCTGTATCTCTCGAGAGAGCACAAGTCCTATGACAAAAAACTAAGAAAAAAGAAAAAAAAAGAAACTAAGGTACAGAAAAGTTAAATATTCTGACTGAACTACAGGCAGTGTAACTGCAATAGTGGAAAGCTTTAAAACTTAATGTAGCAAAATGACAAAGGGAGAAGAGCAGACAGACTGAAAAGCTAACAAGAAAATAGATTTTATAGGACTTGGAAGAGAACTAAATGCTGGAAAGTAATAAAGACGCAGGTGGCTAAGGCAGCTGGATCCCACATGGCATTTTGAGTCCCAGACTGGTAGCTTGAAAAACACACTGGGTGCTTGTGTGTACATGGCCAAAAACTCAAAAGAAATGGAGAAGGGATTGTGGTATGGCCACCCCCCCAAGGGTGATTTCCCACTTTCCCTTTTGCTTCTCTCTCTGGTGAGAGCACATGTTCTATGGAAAAAAACCTAAAAAGGGATTTAAAAAATGACAACAATCACCTAAGATAAATATCACTGTCCAACAGTACTATACGTGCCAAACGTATAAGGAAAAGGATGATGCTATGGTTTGGACGACGGTTTGTCCCCCCAAGGTTCATATTTTGGGATTTGGTCCCTAGTGTAATGGCACTGGAAGGTGGTAAAACGCTTTCTGATTCTCCTTTCTCATCCTCCATTTTCTGTGGCCTCCTCCGATTTTTACAGAAGGTGCACTTACTCATATACCTGTCTCAAATCCATCACCTCAGGGTTGGCAAACTATAATACAGTAAGGGAAGGTAAACCCAGCAAAACACACACACAGAAAAAAAGAGCTTTAATAAGATAGTGAGGGATTATGGTGCCAAAATCTGGGGAAATGAGTAACTGAGAGGCTGAGAAAAGCCTGACACTCATGGGGTTTAAAGAGCAAAAGTTGATGGGCCCACAACAATCTAACGAACAAAACAGATGGCCCATAGTCCTTCCCCCTGCCGAATATCTACTCCTAACAAGAGTGAAATTTCTGTGGGCCAGCCAGCGGCACGGTGGTTAAGGCAGCCAGATACCACAAAGCTAAGTCCTGACTACATGGCTTGAGAAATACGCTGGGTGCATGTGCATGCATGCCCAAAATCCCAGCTGGAAGGAGAGATGGAGGACAGGGAAAAGCAGTATGACCACATCCTATTGTTGTTTTTTTTTTTTTTGGGAGAGGTTTTCGCTATAGGGTGCATGTGCTCGCCAGACAGACAAGAGAAAGACAGAGAGACAGAAAGCGAGAAATCACCCCCCAGGAGGGATGGTCACGCCGCAATCCCTTCTCCTCCATTCTCCTCTTGGGATCTTGGGCACGCACGCACACATGCCCGGCGTGAGTTTTAAGCCACCGGGTCCGGGACGCGAACCGTGGTCGACTACGTGGGAGTCCAGCAACATAGCCATTATGCTAACTGCTGGTTCCCAAGACCACATTCCATTGAGAGGTGCTTTTGTCCTCTCCACCCCCTCCTCTGCTCTAGCAAAATTTTCAAAATAAAAAACCAAAAGTTGGAATCAAGAGCCCACCAAGGAAGACAGGTCTTAGAAAATCCTACAGACTTGGGGTTGGTACTCCGTGAAATCACACCCTAAGAACAGGGGAAAGAGGAAGTAGACCAGGATGTACAAGAAATGAACATCACTTTCAAATCACGCCAATCCATGATTAGATGGTGAACTGGGATTATAAGTGGTACATTTTAAACTCACCGATTTTAAGAATGTAGAGTCCTTAAATTAGCAAAATTAATGTTAATTCACCACACTTGTAAATAAAATGAGGGAAAAAGTAAATGGCACGAGAATATAATAAAGGTTACACTTTCATAGATGAAAAGTACCACGAGTCCTTACCAGGAGTGCTGCAAGCTATGGGAGTGCTGGGTACCTTGAGCTTTTCGTTCTGCTCTGGATCTGACCTTTTATCGCCAGCAACGGCGGAGTTTTGCTTTGGCATCACATGGTAGTAAGATGGGGCGTATTTGGAGGAGCTACAACCTTATAAATGGACATACGGATATCAAAACGGATTTCCAGACTTCGAAATTTCAAGAATTTAAAAAATGCAATACACGATATCTGAAATATATTTTTCTGATGCCACCTTGTACTCCTACCTCTTTTCTTCCTAGATTCCTGAATTTCTTCACAAAGCTGCTCAAAGTCTTCATCAAGCTCTTCTTTAATTATTGCATAGGCAGTATCTCTTAAAGCACAGGCTCTATGCCTAATAAGGCGATCTGAGAAATGAATTAAAAAAATATGAAACTTAATTTTTTTCTTTCTTCTTTTTTTTTTGTAGAGGTTTTTGCTATAGGGTGTGTTTGCTCACCAAAAAGACAGAGACAGAGAGACAAATTGAGAAATCGCCCCCCGGGGGGATGGCCACGCCACAACCCCTCTCCTCCATTCTCCTCTGAGGATCTTGAGCACGCATGCACATATACCCGGCATGAGTTTAATCCACTAGGTCTGGGACTTGAACTGCAGTTGAATACATGGGAATCCAGCAACGTAGCCATTATGCCATCTGCTGGTCCAAATTTTTTCCTTTTTAATGATTTGCTAAAATAAACTCAAAATATTGGGCTGAACTAGTAGCCATTACAATTTCTTTTTACCTTTAGCATGAATGGGAAAAATTACTAGAATTGCGGTATTTTGATTTTGGTGCTAATTTAATGTTCAGGACATTTGATTCAACATGGTAGACTAAATCCAAACCAATGAGTGTTCTTCCCTGTTCACACTCCTTTGAAATATCAGAAAAAGCATAGGAATCAATCAATGGTGAGACTGAACAACAATAACAACAACAAAAGGGGAAGACATCAGTGTCATGAGTAAACCAGGAATGTGAAAGAATTTAGGAAGACATAGAAGTTACTGCATTGACAGAGAAACAAAGAAAAAAAATTTCCTAGAAAAAATCCTAAACTCAGAGTATAAGCACTCTGTCTACAACATGCCTTGAAGCAAAAGACAGGTAACAAATGAGTGCAGCTCATGGGAGTAGCTGCAATATTCGCTCCCAGGCTATGGCTGACAGAAATAGCTACTGTACAGCGTCTTTAGAGAGGCTGCAGGGGCTCCAAACATGGCATTTGAACCTGAAGAAAGACAGGACAAAGTCTGAGTAATGGTTCTTAAACTGTGGTTCCTGGTCCCAGCAGCAGTAACATCATCCTGGAGATTGTGAGGAAAGCAATTTCCTTTTTTTTTTTTTTGGAGAGGTTTTTGCTATAGGGCGCGTGAGCTCGCCAGACAGAGAGAGACAGAGAGATAGAAAGGGAGAAATCACCCCCCAGGGGGGGTGGCCACGCCGCAATCCCTTCTCCTCCATTCTCCTCTCGGGATCTTGGGCACGCACTCACACGCGCCCGGTGTGAGTTTAACCCACCGGGTCTGGGACTCGAACCGCAGTCGACTACGAGGGAGTCCAGCGACATAGCCATTACGCTAACTGCTGGTCCCGAGGAAAGCAATTTCTAAGGCTCCAGTGCCTAAGTCTACAGAATGGGGACTGCAGAGCTGCAGTTCAGAGACCTGTATCTTAAGAAGCCTTTTGGGAGATCCTGATGCCCACTAAAGTTTGCAGCCCACTGGTCTAAAGAAGTCTACATTGACTTCTACAAAGGACAGAAAGGAAGCAGAAGCGGGGGCATGGCTGCAAGGGGACAGAAAAAGCCTGCCCACAGGGTACTGCTTCTTTCCTCCTATAATGAAGGGTGCTCCCAGCTTGCTAGCCTGTTTCCCCTTGCTTACTTCCAGAGCTCTGAACTACAGAGAAAAGCCGAGGGAAGGTGAGGTAGAAGACTGAGAAGGGAAAGAAGTGGTAAACTTTTCAGTTGTGGAAGAAACTCTCAATAGTTCCCTATGCTGATACATCCAGCTCATAATCACCCATCATGCCAGTGGGTGGCATGGTATTTGGGGCACTGGATTCTCACATGGCCAGTGGCAGTTTGAGTCCCAGACCTGGCAGCTTGCTTTCTCACTCGCCCTACCCCCCATCTCTCTCTGATGACTACATCAAATTAAAAAATAACGGGAACCAGCAGTTAGCGTAATGGCTATGTTGTTGGACTCCCACGTAGTCGACTGCGGTTTGCGTCCCGGACCCGGTGGCTTAAAACTCACGTCGGGTGTGTGTGCGTGCGTGCCCAAGATCCCGAGAGGAGAATGGAGGAGAAGGGATTGCGGCGTGACCATCCCCCCTGGGGGGTGATTTCTCGCTTTCTGTCTCTATGTCTCTCTCTGTCTGGCGAGCGCACGCACCCTATAGCAAAAACCTCTCCAAAAATAAATAAATAAATAAATAACATTAATAATAAATCAAATAAATCCTTTTTAAAAAAAGCCTACATATTGGAGGGGATTAATATAGAAGACAGAACTATTTTTAAAATGTATTTTTTATCCTCTGAGACAGTCAAGAACTCTACATCCATAAAATAAGAATAGGAAGCGAAGAAAAAAAGCAGCAGCCGAGAAAGAACATTTCTTAGACAGGAACAAGCTGCAGCATGAATGAGTCATTAAACATCCTCTACTTCATCTATTTTGTTTAATAGTGATGCCAGGTGAGGGCAGTTAGGTACACACATAGAAAAAGATCTAGAAAGGTATCCTCAAATTTAAGTATCCACCTTTAAAGGAAACGGGGGACTTGGATGTTTTTAATATTACCATATTACTTTTATAATAAAACGTGTAACAGTGGGCCAGCCATTGGCATAGTGGTTAAGGTGGCTGGATTCTACATGGCTAACTGTGGATTAAGCCTGAACCTAGCGGCCTGAGAAAACATGCCAGGTGTGTGTGCCCAAAATCCCAAGAGGAGAATGGAGGAGAAGGGATTGCAGTAACATCCCCCTGGGGGTAATTTCTCACTTTCCTTCTCTCTCTCTGGTGAGAACATGTACCCTATAGCCAACACTAAGAGAAACAAAAACTTAACAATGGTCTTACTAAGAATACATGTATGTTTATTTTTGCTAGAGAGTGCGTGCACTTGATAAAGAGGAAAAGGGAGAAAGCACCCCCCCCAATAGGGTGTGGTTGTATTGCAATGCCTTCTCCTTCAGAGTTCCATCCTGTCCGAATTTTGGGTACACGTGTATGTGCCATGTATGTTTTCCAAGCCACTAGGACCAGGATTTGAACCATGCAGTTGGCCACATGGGATCTTAATCCCTTAACCACTAGGCCATGGGGCTGCCCCAAGAAAATCTTTTTATAACTCCTTTACCACAGAATTTAGTTGGGATCAGCAGATGGTGTAGTAGTTATGTTGCTGGACTCCCACAAGGCCGACTGCAATTTGAATGCTGGACCCAGGGGCTTGAAACTCATGCCAGGTTCTGTGTCTGTGTATGTCTGTGTGCCCAAAATCCTGAGAGGAGAATGGAGAAAAGACTATGGCATGGCCATACCCCTTGGGGGGTGATTTCTCACTTTCCCTCTCACTGTGTCTGTTCTCTCTCTCTCTAGCAAGTGCACACACCCTAAGGCAAAAACTTTTCAAAAGGAAAATTTAGTTTACTACATCAAGAAATAGCACGGATGCCAAAATAAACAGGTTATTTTGTGTATCATTAGAGGATCTACATGTCATTGTAAACACACAGGGATGGAGTGAAAGAAACCTGTATTCCAGCTCTGCCTTCACGCCTTCCTCATGGTGTGGCCTGTGAGGAAAGTGGAGCGAAGCTCTTCGCCTTGCTAAACTTCCCTTTCCTCAACTGTACCCCGGGGTAAGGACGTTGGGAGGGTTAAACAGCACTGTGACTACAAGATGTTTATAATAAACATATGTAAATCCACACTCCGTGTTAGCAGCTCCCAGTCCATGCCCCCTGAAATGAAATTTGCCAGGGCTCACCTCCAGGATCTCTATCTGGATTATATTCCAAAGCATTACTACAGATGAGATCAATATCCCTCAAATAGTCTTTCACAGTCAGATATTTGTGTAGGTCAATTTTACTGATTACAGATGAAAGGTCCATCGGTTGCTTGATTACAGTGACATAATCTGGAACCTAAAATCCAAGCAAATGACCAAGTCACTAAATTAACTCTAAACATAAAAATATGTGTACCAAGTTCCTTACTGCCATATAGGAGACAGACAATAAATACAGAAGAGATAATCACATTTTAACATGAAACCTCTGACTGTCTATGGCTGTATTTATTATTTACTCACACTCAATCTAAGGCTGGCTGTGCATATCTATTCTTATTCGCAGTCCCCTATATGCTCTAGAAACATTGTACATCTCTTCCTTTATCCAACTGCTACATGTTCTTCAGTGTCAACTTAAGACCTGGCTCATTAACTCAATTGCAATCCTGTAGGCTATAATAAGTCATTCGGCATTCTTAAATTGTTTCCAGAATGTTTGGGTTGGGTAGACAAAGTTAACTGCCTACTATAGGAAGAAAAGGAAGATGTGTTACATAGCTCAGTGTCTCCACAGGCTGAGAATACCAACTCATTACCTGTTTCCATAAAGAGAAAACGAGTTCAAGGGTGTAGATAGGGGAACTACATACACTATTCACATTTACTCTGGTTCTGAAGCATTATGGCTTATGATGTATGTGATCCAAAGGTTAAAAGAGTACCTCATCAGGGTCAACAGGCTTTGTAAACACTCGGAATCGCTTGTCAATAGCAAGCCTATGTGTAACATTTCTTAAGAAAATCCTCAGTTCTCTAAAGGTATCTTCTTCCTGTTCCTCTAGTCGCTTTACTTCTTCTGCTGTCAATGGTCTTGGCTCAGGTGGTGGTGCTACTGGGAGTACTTCTAAGGCCTGCAAAACTTCACATGAATGAAAAATGTTAGTTACTCTGTAATATTGAGGGTAACATATGATTCAACATAAAGGTTATCGTCCTTCTGCCAGGAATCCTGCCTTCAGGTTACAAAAGCACTACCACAATCTCCATCCCAACATCCCCTCAAAAATAACCAGTAACTTGAGACTCCTGAAATGCTCCGACAAGAAGCCATTTGAAAGCTGAGATGTGTCCCGACCTGTTCAGGGAAGCTATGCTCTAAACTTCATCTTCTCGACTCCTGAAATATTCAGGAAAGTGGAGGAGAGATTTTGTTACAGAATGACCAGAAATCATCGCAGAGGCACAAGAAACATGAGAAATCAAGAAAATATCTTCCCCCTAAGGGAAAAGAACAATCTCTCATCATCCATAGACAGTACAATAGAACTCGTGAAAATGTCTAATAGAGAATTCAGAATATTCGTAGTGACAAAACTAAATGAGATATAAGAGCTGAGAGATAATGAACTCCAGAAGATACAGGAAAAAAGAGACGAGTTCCAGGAGGTGTTGAAGTTCTTGCATGATCTGAAAGAGGAAATACACACAATAAAAAAGAATCAAATGGAACTATTAGAGATGAAGGCTGCCTTTTAGGAAATCAAAACCTCCCTTGAAAGTATTAAAAGAAAATTAGTCCATGCAGAAAATCGAATCTCAGATGTTGACGGCAAAATCTCCGATCTGTAAAAAACAACCAAAAAAACTGAAAAAAAAAAATCCCCCCAAATGAGAATACTATACAAGAAATACTAGACAGCATTAAGCGCCCAAATATCTGGATTATCAGTATCCCAGGAGGTGAAGAAACTAATAAGGGCATTGATAATCTAGTCCATGAAATCTTGGAAGAAAACTTTCCAGATTTAGAGAGGCATTCAAACATTCAGATCCAAGAAATACAAAGCACCTCTAGTAGAATTAATCCAAGAAGAAGGTCTTCTCTGAGGCACATCATAGTAAGACAGGACAAATCTACAGACAAAGACAAGATACTAAAATTGGCAAGAGAGAAATGTCAGGTTACTTATAAAGGCTATCCAATCAGGCTAACCTCAGACCTCTCATCAGAAACAGTGAGAGCAAGGAAAGAATGGGAAGATATATTCAAAGTGTTAAGTGAAAAAGAATTTCAACCAAGAACACTATACCTGGCAAGATTATCTTTCATAATAAAAGAAAGGATAAAAAACATTCTCAGATAAACAAGACCTCAAAGAATTTGCCAATAGCAGACCCACTCTTCAAGAAGTCCTGAAAGAAATGCTCTACCAGGAAAACTAAAGGTACATACAGAAATAAGAGAACAAAAGGCAACCAAGGGGGAACCAGCAGTTAGCGTAATGGCTATGTCGCTGGACTCCCACGTAGTCGACCGCAGTTCGTGTCCCGGACCCGGTGGCTTAAAACTCACGCTGGGCGCGTGTGCGTGCGTGCCCAAGGAGAAGGGATTGCGGCGTGACCATCCCCCCTGGGGGGTGATTTCTCGCTTTCTGTCTCTATGTCTCTCTCTGTCTGTCTGGCGAGCACACGCGCCCTACAGTGAAAATCTCTCAAAAAAAAAAAAAAAAGGCAACCAAGAAAATGAACGATTTAATGCTAGGGACAAGGAGTATCAATAATACCATTGAATGCTAACTTCCAGGATTTAAATGGAAAGATTAGACCACAGCAATACTGCACATTCAACCACAAAGAGTTTGAACAGAAGACTGAATTGGCGAAATAGAATTTTATGAATTTTGAGTAAAACATTATTGATTTTTTATTTTTTACTATGCTTTGTTTTCCCAATTTAAGCATTTTTTTTTCTTCTGAGTTGTTGATAGGTTCAGCAATTTGTTAAAATATTTTTATTGCTTGTTTCTTTAAATGGAAACATAAACTTTTCTTCCTTCCTGACCCCTCTGGAATTGGAAAATATTTGGGAGTATTATTACTTTGTGGCAGTACTACTTATTTGTGTAAGTTCAATAATGCTTGTTGCATTGAATCAGAAATTGGAAATACTCATTATTGGACAAGGCTTTGACTGGAATGTCATACCTTAAGATTAATCAGGAAACTATGGAACTAAGGTGGATCTCAAGTAAGCCAACAGAAGCTCTTAGAAAGATGGCCTGGCACCATAAATAGTTCTGCCTGGCAGAGAGGATTAGAGAAGATATAAGAAAGAATTTATAACATAAAATAACCTGGACTTTTCCAGCCCAGCATTGTAATCAGTAGAGATTGCAAAAGAGCAACCACACCAGAGGATTATCTTGACAAAGACGTTGAAGGAAGAAAAAGAGACCGATCTTTGCTGGCAGATGGTATATCACAGAATACTTGGTAGGCAGGGCTGAATTGAGAAGGTTTATGTGTGAATTCTGTACTGGGCATTTGCTTTTCAACAATTTGAGTAGTTGACATGTAAATATTTTCTCAAAAATATATAAAACCATACTGTCTCTGTTGCTATAGAGTGATAAACAAAATTATAAGAAATATTTTGAACGTTATCTTTAAAATTCACTGTCAAGAACTACGGAGTATGAGCAAAATTTTTTGATATGTAAAGTAAATGTTTGTGAAAAAATGTAAAAATAAATAAAAGGAAAAAATAACCCAGTAACTTGTAATTTGGAATGCTAGCTCCCAAAAGTCATTATCTTTGTTCCATTTTAAGATAATTTCAGAGGGTATTAAAACTTTAAAATGCATTATTTTCAGAATAAGAATGTTCTATTAAAATGCCTTATTTCCTAGTTAATTTTTGAACTAATAAAAAATTGTAGTAATTTCAAATATAACAAAATGTAATTTTGTTTGAAGAGCTATAAAATGAGCACTTAGAGTAAAACGAAGGAATGTGAGAGTTCTGCCTCGATAAGCGGGCAACCTATTAAGAAAGACACAATTATGTCATTAAAAGGTCACAGTAGTAGTATATAAGAAATCCAGTGTGTCATACGGGTTGAAATAATCTTGGCTAGATAAGTTAGGGGAGATTTTGTAATAAAAATGAGTTATACAAGAAGGACAAGCAGTTCTTTAGGAAGAGAGGAAAGACAGAGACGAAAGCCTAACTGACAGAGAACAAGCATAAATTAAATCATGAAAGAGCAGGAATATGCTGGCAGATGGTTTGCAGTTAGGGTGCTGTAAAAAAACAGGTGGGGTGGGCGGAAGGACATGAAATGTCCAAAACGAGCTTAGATAAGACTGGGGCTGTGCTAGGAAAGGTCTCTGCCTTGAGGACGTTGATGGGAAGCAGCGTTGACTGCACCAACCGGTGACTGAGGTTCTGAGCTTGTGATTAGGCAGATGTCAATACCATTAACTCATATTTTATTCTAACTTTCTCAAAATTATTATATACTAACTTTCATATAAGAACTAACCTGCTTTCTTTTTCGATATAGGAGGCTTAGCAGCTTGTTTTAAAATTAAATCTTCAAAAAATTTTGTCCGTTCTTCTTTACCCGGTAATTGGACATTAAAAATCTCTCCATAATCATGGATAAACAATTCTTGCACCTTAATAAAGAAAATAAATGCAAAATATACACTATGTATGTACATACATGCAGTATTATACAGACACACAATGCATGTATCAATCATTGAATATAACAGGTTATTTTACATATATATTTTTTAAATTATTTAACTTTATTTATTATTACTATTTTTTAAACTTGACCAGAGAGAGAGATAAAGTGAGAAAGCAAGTTACAAGTCCAGGACTTGAAACACGGTCAGCCATGTGGAAGTCCAATGCCTTTTACCACTACACTACCTGCTGGCCCCCATTTTACATATATTATATTGCCAGAGGGCATAGGCACCAGAGAGAAGAAGGGAGAAAAAGGAAAGAGAGAGAAGGAGAAAGCACCCCTATGGGTGTATAGTTACGCTGCAGTCCTTTCTCCACTTCTCTACCCTGTTGCAATTTGGGGCACACATATGCACCAGGTGTTTGTCAAGCCATTAGGGCTAGGATTCAAATCATGATCGGTCATGTGGAATCTGGCTCCCTTATAGGCTATGGGCCCAGCCCCCCAAATTTATACTTTTATTTCACTTTCTACAAGGTCTTTAAGGTACCTTCATATCTCTGTTTCTCACCTCCCCTAATAGAGGGAAGGATAAATAAATCAATAAATCAGGGAGAGAAAAAAATGAAGTGCTGAGGAGAGTAGATAATATTGCTATAAACAAACACTTTGATCAAGGAAGACCTCTCTAAGGTAGTGTGTAAGCAGAGATCTGAGAAAAATAAAGAATTAGATGAGGCAAGTGTGTAGGAGAAGAATATTCTAGGCAGAAGCACAAGCTTTTTGCTCAGTATTGCCAACTGTCTAAATCAGTACAAACTTGAAAGAGAGTAATTTGATGCTATCAAAAACTGTAAATCTAGGGACCAGCAGTTAGTGTAATGGCTATGTGGCTGGACTCCCACGTAGTCGACAGCGGTTCGAGTCCTGAACCTGGTGGCTTAAACTCACGCCAGGCGTGTGTGCACGCGTGCCCAAGATCCCAAAAGGAGAATGGAGGAGAAGGGATTGCAGGGTGGTTATCCCCCCAGGGGATGATTTCTCACTTTTTGTCTCTCTGTCTCTCTCTGTCTTCCTGGTGAGTGCACGTGCCCTATAGCGAAAACCTCTCCAAAAAAAAAAAACCAAACAAACAAAAAAAACAACCCTGCAAATGTATATGGTCTTTGACTCAGCTCCATTTACGGAAACTGATCCTAGAAATTCTTAGTAATACTCATGCAAATTAACACACATGGGTGCTCACCAAAGCAGTTCAATGGAAAAACACTGGAAAATAACTAAAATATCAACAGGGATTGCGATAAATAAATTATGGTACGTCAAGACAATGGAAAAGGCCATGAAGCTCTTAAAAGGAGACTTGAATTGACAAATACACAAGATGAACCAGTAAGTGAAAAAGTCAGTAGGTGGCGTGGTGGTTAAGACGTAGGACTACCACATGGCTGAGTGTGGTACAAGTCCTGGACCAGGCGGTTTGTTTTCTCACTTTCCCTCTCTTTCCTCTCTCTCCTCCTCTCTCTATTAAGCACATGACCTATAGCAAATAAAATAAAATAATAATAAATTTTTAAAAAGATTTATTTATTTAATTCCATTTGTTATTATTTTTTAATTTGACCAGAGAGAAAGGGAAAATGAGAAAGCAAGCTGCCAGGTCTGGGACTCAAACTGTGGTCGGCCATGTGGGAATCCAGAGCCTTTAACCACCACACTACCTGCCAACCCAGATATAACATTTTTTTAAAAATTGCTAAGTGACTGAAGGAAACTGCAGAACAGTAGGCATCACATCATCCCATTTTTGTAAGAGTTGTTTATAACGTACCCTTACAGATATACATACACATATATACATACCACCCCACCCAGTGAGCACACTTCTCGAACAGTTAATGGCATTCTTCCTAAAAAAAACTTTTCCTTATCATTTTATTCACTTCCACAGCACTTGAACTTTTATAGTACGCTGTTATTACTGTGGTATAAACAACTCTCTTTCCAACATCCGAAGACTTTCCCTCCATAAATTACCTCTTCTGGCAGAGCAGAATGGGGTTTGTCAGAAGTTGCAAGAAGTAGAACTGGAGCAAAAGAAGGAATATTCTGTAATAATGTGGTAAATGTGGCTTTGAGTGTGGGCCCAACTATTTCCCACCACAAGTGGATATGTGGGACATACACTATGCTTGGAGCTGTTCTCTTAGCTTCACGAATCACCTAGAGAAGAAACAGAGTCACAGAGTCAGTACATTTACAATGCCAGCTTTATAATCTGAAATAATGTTTAGCTTCCCAAGAGTATCATATAAAACCCTCAGGTTTTTAAAATGCTTTCCCTAAATTCCATAAACTTGTTTTGTAGAAGTCTCACTTCTTTGAAAATGCAATCGCTAGAAGCAACTAAAAAGGGGCTCAAGAAATCTATTAATAGAAGACGTTTTGTTGTGGTAACTGAAACTAAACAGAAATATATTTTTACATAAAAAATTTAAATATTGGGGCCAGCAGATGGCGTAACAGTTATGTTGCTGGACTCCCATGTAATCTAACACACTTCAAAGCGTAACAGTTATGTTGCTGGACTCCCATGTACTCTAACACAGTTCAAATCCCAGATCTGATGGCTTAAAACTCATACCAGATGCGTGTGTGCATGCCCAAGATCCAGAGAAGAGAACGGAGGAGAAAGGACTGTGACATGGCCATCCCCCCTGGAGAGTGATTTCTCGCTTTCTGTCTCTCTGTCTCTCTAGCAAGCATAAGCTCCCTATAGCAAAAATCTCTTTAAAATATTTAAATATTAAAAAACAGCAGACAGAAACCACAAAATATCTAAGTACTTACTAAAGAGCAGTCACTGTTCTAAATACCTTAATTCTCCTAACAGCCAATGGCCATATAAGCAAGTAGTATATCTTTCTATTTTTCTTTTAAAAAAATGAATGACAGATGGGACCAGCAGTTGGTGTAATAGCTGTGTTGCTGGACTCCCACGAAGTCAATCGCAATTTGAGCCCTGGACCTGGTGGCTTAAACTCACGCAGGGCGCGTGTACGTGCGTACCCAAGATCCCGAGAGGAGAATGGAGGAGAAGGGATTGCTGCATGGCCATCCCCCCTGGAGAGTGATTTCTCGCTTTCTGTCTCTATGTCTCTCTCTGTCTTTCTGGCAAGCACACGCGCCCTATAGCAAAAACCTCTCAAAAAAAAAAACAAAAGCAAAAACAAAAAAACACAATCATGACAGAGTATATGTGCACACCAGAGAAGCAAAGGGTCTAAAAATGCCATAATCCCAGCTCGACAGCTCATCAGGATCCAGGCACACCCACATGTGCCTGGTATGGTTCAGAGCGACCTGAGGATCTGTGTGCACGTGCTCTACAGTGAATTTAAAGGGGAGGAAAAAAAGGCAATTCTAGATTTTGTCTCTGAAAGATTGCTTTGCCTTATAGACTATTTGTTTGGACAATAATGTATTACCTGGGCACATGTTTCTTCAGGAGATGCAGCACTGACCGCAAAAAGAACAGGAATGTCTAATGTGTATACGGTGAATTTTTCCAAAGCATGTATGACAGCTGGCGCCAAATGAGAACCCTGTCCAAATCCTGGTTCTCCCACTATTAATATTCTTGGTCGAAAAGACATAGGTTGGTAACAAGCATTTCTGAAATAAATGATTAGTAAGCTATGTTTAAAAAAAAAAAAAAAAGCAAGAACTTAAATGTTTTCCCTAAACTTGCTAGTTACAGACTTTCACAGGTCAAAGTCTAGTGTAAGTCTTATTCATACAGCCAGGCCAATCGCAGCACAGTTCATACAGTTTCAACACCAGCCTCCAAATTTTTAGCAATAATTTTATACAAAAAAAATCTTACTTTAACTTAAAAAATAAAGTGGGCTGGTTAGCACCTTTTATCTTTTTAAACATTATTTCATTATTTTTAGGAGACTAACATGCAAAAAAAAATCATCTGCAAGAAAAACATACCTATTCAAATGAAGAAAATTAGAATTTTCTTTTGCTTTATTAAAGGATTTCTGCGAAAGCCCACTTTCATACACTGACGGAACATCATCATCACTGTATGCCAACTCACTTTCCAGGAGAGGACAAGAAATATCTATAAAATAAAAACTCACACATTAGTAACTTTCCTAGACTACAAAACCAATCTATCCACTTCACGTAGTTTATCTGCATATACCAACATCATTTTTTTTTTTAAAGAGTTTTGCCATAAGGCACGTGCAATTCCTGAAGAGAAAGACTGAGAAATCACCCTCCCCACAACAGGGGAACAGCCATACTGTAATCCCTTCTCTTCCACTCTCCTCTTGGGATTTTGTACACATGCATATGCACCCAGAGTATTTTCCAAGCTGTGAGGTCCAAGACTTGAACCATGGAGTTGGCCATGTGGTATCCAGCACCTAATCAACACACCACCTGCTGGCTCCAACAATAAAATTTTTTTAAGAATCAAAATAATAAGTGAAGGAGCCGGCAGGTGCCATGGTGGTTAAGGGCACTGGGCTCCCACATGGGCAGTTGTGGTTTGAGCCATGAACCTGGCAGCTTGCTCTCTCACTTTCTCTCTCTCTCTCACCTTGTGCCTCTCTTGTCAAATTAAAATAAATAAATAAAGTAAAATAAAATAATTCTCTTAAAAAAAGTGAATAATTCCAGGCCCAGCTTCAGCTGTGTGTGCTGGTAAGACTACTGCACTGCGGCTGAGAACCACAAGGGCGGCTTGGATTTAGCTTCCAGTCCACCATAAAAACTGCATGTGGCGGTGTGTGCCTGTAGTCCTGAACACTCAGAAAGCTAAAGCAAGAGAACAGAGAGAGAACGAAACCCTCTTAAAAAATAAATAAATAAATGTGGGACCAATTTCATGGCTTGGTGGTTAAGGCCAGATCTCACATGGCCAACCATGTAGTTTGAGTCCCAGACCTGGCAGCTTATAAAACATCCAGTGGGATGGCAAAATGGAGAAGGGATTGTGGCGTGAACCATGTTCCATTGAAGGGAGCTTTCTCCACGTCCCATTTGAGGGTGCTTTCTCTGTTTCCCTCTTTCTGGCAAGTGCACATGCCCTCTGGTAAAATTTAAAAACAAATGCATTTCAAACTTAAGTAGATTAACTTAAGGATAATCCAGGAGGCAAATTTCCTTCAGATATCCCAGGTGAAGCTCAAAGAGCCAGCAGTTGGCATAATGGCTGTTGTTGAACTCCCATGTGGTCGACCATGGTTCAAGTCCCAGACCCGGTGGCTTAAACTCACACCAGGCACGTGTGTGTGCATGCCAAGATCCGAGAAGAGAATGGAGAAGGGATTGCTGTGTGGCCATCCCCCCTGGGGGTTGATTCCTCACTTTCTGTGTCTCTCTCTTTCTGGTGAGTGCACGTGCCCTATAGCAAAAACCTCTCAAAAACAAAACAAAAAAACAACCAAAAACCAGAAAACAACAAAAAACTCACTCAAATTCTTTTCAAGAGATTTTTTTTTAAAAACAAATAAACATTTCGGTGATGTATAAAACATGTCTAGCTTTACTGATTATTAAAACTAACTTTAAGGATCAGCATATGCCATAATGTTATGTCACTGGACTCTCTTGCAGTCGACCACAGTTCGAGTCCTGGACCTGGGTGGCTTAAACTCACGCCGGGCGTGTGTGCATATGTGCCCAAGTTCCCAAGAGGAGAATGGAGGAGAAGGGACTGTGGTGTGGCCATCCTCCCTTGGGGGTGATTTCTCACTTTCTCTCTCTTTGTCTCTCTCTGTCTTTCTGGCGAGCGCATGTGCCCTATAGCATAAACCTCTCCCAAAAAAAAGAAAACAAAAAACAAAACTAACTTTAGGGGGTCAGAGGTGGCGTGGTGGTTGGGGCACTGGACTGCTACATGGCCTACTGCAGTCCGAGTCCTGGACCTGGCAACTTGCTCTCTCTCTGTCTCTGCCTTTCTCTGGTGAGTACATGTGCCCTATAGTAAAAAAATTTAAAAATAACAATTTTTAAAAATGTTAAATTGTCAATCGAGTTTTATACCTGAGTCTAGTGCCTTATTTGTTTTGATTTCCGCATGTGGAAACACCCTCTGCAGGGCTTGTAAGATCTTGTGAACGGTGCTTTGCAGAAGCGGCTTCACAATGACGGACAGCGCCTGCCCAGGTGATGACACAGCTCGCTGGGAGGCCGGTATCATCTTTTGCATAGCAACTTCAAAATCCTTGGCTGAGATAGTAACTGAAGAGAGATCCAACTGCAGCTTCTCACTAGTGGTGTAGATCTGTGGGTAGCGACGACGCAGAGCACACAAAGCCGCTTCCGCACATATCGACTTAATATCTGCACCACAGTATCCTACCAAAGTAGCCAGGAAGGAAACAAACAAACGAACAAAACCCATTAGCATGACAGCGAACCTTAGCTTCATTGTTAAAAGAAAATTAAAAATGAGCCTAGCAACAGAGTAGCAAGGAAATATTTAGAAATAATGACCCAAATCTCTCATTTACCCAGTGAACTTGTATGGTGGGCATGACCATCACAAATCAACTTTGATGAGGAAAACATGAAAACACCAAGTGTAGCCTATGGGTTAAGATCAAGAGTTTTAAAATCAGAACGACTAGGTTCAAATCCCACTTTGTCCTTTACTAGCTGTGTGATATTTGGAGAATCACTTAGGTTTCAGTCATTTTCCCATCGGTGCATGGAGCTAATATAGCAGGACTGATGTGAACATGATGTGGAATAGCATACGGAGCGTGCTTAACAGAAATACCAGAAAAACAGAAATGACAAGAACAACTGTCATTGTTATCTACTTTGCTCTCGGTTTTCCCCAATGGCCAATTTGTCAATTATGTCTATTTTAAATCCAGGATTTTGTAAGAAGAAAACATGCCACTAATACTAAATGAGAAACAGATAAAACATTGTATTCCTTTAAACAAAATCTTCCAAGATTACTTGCTTTATCTTTTAAATGGATGTAATAATATTCTTTTAACTACTTAAAACAATGTTTACCAACACAGTTTTCTGCCAGCTCTTCTAGAAAAATGTCCAGTGGTCTGGGATTCCAATCCCTTGTATGGATCTTTAGAATCTCTTTTCGAGCCTACAAATAAAACAGTTTACTTTTGACTTTCTAGAATATTAAAGTAATCAATACTTGATATAAACAAAAATACGAAACTGTGAAGATAAGGAAAAAAAGATGTATTTGGAAGGGTTTAAAAAACCTAGTTTTATTAAATAGATCTGCATTTACAGTGCTCAAATTATATCCATCATAAATACAAATGAGAGAAGTTAAATATCTACTGAAGTATTGTTGATTCTGGTACATACTGAATGAGGGCTTTTTTTTTTTAAAGAATACTAATTGCTCGGGAACCAGCAGTTGGCGTAATGGCTATGTCGCTGGACTCCCACGTAGTTGACCACGGTTCGTGTCCCGGACCCGGTGGCTTAAAACTCACGCTGGGCGTGTGTGCGTGCGTGCCCAAGATCCCGAGAGGAGAATGGAGGAGAAGGGATTGCGGCGTGACCATCCCCCCTGAGGGGTGATTTCTCGCTTTCTGTCTCTATGTCTCTCTCTGTCTGTCTGGCAAGCGCACGCGCCCTACAGTGAAAATCTCTAAAAAAAAAAAAAGAATACTAATTGCTCTATCTATATTTTCTTGTTTGGTCCCCAAAATAATAGGTGGCTTTAAAATAAGCCAAGTCTAACAAACTGCTAGAGATTGAATGCTCATTTAACCACAGGTTACAAAGCAAAATGACACCATTCAAAAACTGCTCAAATTAAAAGAATTTTAAATTTTGGGACCAGCAGTTAGCGTAATGGCTATGTTGCTGGACTCCCACGTAGTCAACTGCCGTTTGTGTCCCAGACTCGGTGGCTTAAACTCACGCCGGGTGCATGTGCGTGCGTGCCCAAGATCCCGAGAGGAGAATGGAGAAGGGATTGCGGTGTGGCCATCCCCCATGGGGGGTGATTTCTTGCTTTCTGTCCCTCTCTGTCTGTCTGGCGAGCGCATGCGCCCTATAGCAAAAACCTTTCCAAAAAAGAAAAAAAAGAATTTTAAATTTTTAGGGAAGCATTATTATATTTAAAGAAAAGAATTTTTTTTTAAATTGCCTCCATTTGAGTTACTTTTTAACTACTACTTGGTAAGATCATGTTACAAAAACCAAAATCCTCAAATTTTAACTGTACCAAGACTTGTTTATGATAAAATAAAGTAACATATTTTATCAAACTTTGAGCACAGTTAAATTCTTACATCCTTATCAGGTAGGCTAAAAAGGAATTCTCTGTCAAAGCGACCAGGCCTTCGTAGAGCAGGGTCTATAGAATCCAGCCTGTTGGTAGCACCAATGACCACAATTTCTCCTCTGCTATCCAGTCCATCCATGAGAGCTAGCAGGGTGGAAACAATAGAACTAAAAGAAAAAAAAGAAGAGAGAAGTTAATAACTACTGATATAAAATGTATCAATTAGTACTATTTCTTTTGGTAAGATTTACTGCATTAACCACATGTTTTCTCAGGGCATCTCACTACTTTCAATGGATTAAGAAAAAGTCTGTAAAGTAACAAAAAAGGATACAGAAATTGAAATCAATGGAAAACATAAATGGTCTTTAAAAATGCCATGAATGAATCATGGAAGCCATTTCATGAGTAGTAATTTCACAAAGGAACTTGAGAGTTCCTAAACAAGGATGCAACTTCGAAAAATACTAGTAATTCTGGGTAAAATAAACAGTATTTAGGGGCCGGCAGGTGGCATGGTAGTTAAGGGCACTGGATTCCCACACAACTGACCACGGTTTGAGTACTGGACCTAGTGGTTTGCTTTCTCACTTTCCCTCTCTCTCTCTTACTTTGTCCCTCTATGGACAAATTAAAATAAATAAATGAGGGGCCAACAGGTGGCATGGTGGTTAAGGGCGATGGACTCTCATACGGCTGACTGTAGTCTGAGTCTGTCCCAGAAGTGGCAACTTCCTTTCTCACTTTCTCTCTGTCCCTTTCTGATCAATTAAAATAAATAAAGTTTAAAAAATAAATAAATAAAAAGTTAAGGGCTGGCAGGTGGCATGGCAGTTAAGGGTGCTGGACTCCCACATGAGCAACCACAGTTTGAGTCCCTGACTTGGCAGCTTGCTTTCTCACTTTCCCTCTCCAGCTCATTCTCTCTCTCTCTGTTCCTCTTTGGTCAAATTAAAATACATAAATAAACAAACATTTTAAATAAATACATACATAAATAAAAAGTTAAATAATCTTTTTTTGGAGAGGTTTTCGCTAGAGGGTGCGTGCGCTCGCCAGACAGGGAGACAGAGACAGAAAGCGAGAAATCACCCCTCAAGGGGGATGGCCACGCCACAATCCCTTCCTTCTCCTCCATTCTCCTCTCGGGATCTTGGGCACACACGCACACGCACCTGACGTGGTTTAAGCCACCGGGTCCAGGACTCAAACTGTGGTTGACTACGTGGGAGTCTAGCAACATAGCCATTACGCTAACTGCTGGTCCCCCACAAAGTTAAATAATTCTTAAAAACAAACAGTATCCAAAGTTATAGGATGTTCCACTGTATTTACATGGTCAAATGAAGGACACCAAAATAAAGAATATACATAAAAAGCATGACAAACAGGATTTAAATTAAGCTTTTTATTGTGGAGAGAATAGTTCCAGGTATTCTCTATCATGTTTCTACGTTATCATATTCCATTTTATTTTCTTTATGAAAGTGAGAGAGGAAAAGGAAAAAAGGGGGAGAAAAGGAGAGGAAAAGGAAGAGAGACAAGTTTTTTTTTTTTTTGAGGTTTTTGCTCTAGGGTGCGTGCTCTTGCCAGAAAGACAGAGAGACAGAAAGCAAGAAATCTCGCCTCAGGGGGGATGGCCATGCTGCAATCCCTTCTCCTCCAGGGATCTTGGGCACGCATGCACATGAGCCCAGCATGAGTTAAAGCAACGGTCCAGGACTCGAACTGTGGTCGACTACATGGGAGTCCAGCATCATAGCCATTATGCCAACTACTAGTCCAAGAGACAAGGATTTTTAAAAATTATATTATCAATGATAAAACGTATCTACACGAGAGAGAGACAAGTACCTGTATTTCGTCAAATCCTGTTTCCCCAGCCCTCCAGCTCATCAGGATCCTGGGCACATGAGGGCTGACCCAGGATCTGAACCCAGAGCTGGCCATGTGGCTTCCAGCACTACAGTTCAGTCTATCACTGACTGTGCCAATTGGCTGGGCCAACCAGTACATCTGACCAGGCCTTACTATGGGTAATCCTTCTGTCCTAGCCTCCCAACCAGTCAGGATAACAGGCAAACACAATCGCACCCAGAATGTTCATGCAGGCCCAGGAACTGAACCCATTCATACCTCCCACATGGATTCCAGTCTCCCAAGCAGTGGTGCTACCTGTGTGGCACTGTGGTATTATCAGTGTGCCTTCTGTATGTCTTCATCCAATTCCAACCGTCTTTCATTTTTTTTTTTTTTTTGATGTGGGATGTGTCTACGTGTGTGTGTTTTGTTTTCTTTTTCTTTTATGTCATAGGTCACGTATGCTCATGAGAGAGACAGAAACAAAGGGAAAGTGAGAAAACACTTCCCGGGGAGATGGCCATGCCACAATCCTTTCTCCTCCATTCTCCTCAGGATTTTGGTCATATATGTACACACGACCTGTGGGTTTTTCAAGATGCTGGATCTGGGACTCGAACTGGGCTGTTGGCCATGTGGGATTCAGCCACTTTAACCACGACACCACCAGCTGGCCTGTGTGTGTTGTTTTAGACAAGGTCTCACCACTGTCACAATCCTTTAGCCTCTGCCTACCCAGTAGCTAGAGTACAGGCCCACATCATCACACCTCTTTTCTTTTTTAGAATGGGCTGAGAATCGATCATCGGATTCCAATGTCGCCTCAGTTTGCCAAGCAGCAAAGTCCAGCCACACTACCGTGGCTGGACTCTGAGGATTTTTTAATTGCCAGAGGATAATGTGTAAGACTGAGAGAGAAAGCACACCCAAAGGGTCCCAATCATGTGGCAATCTTTTTTCCTCCATCCTGTCGGGAATTTGGGCATGCACACATGTGTATCCAGGGTGTTTTTCAAGTTGCCAGGGCTGGAATTGGAAGCATGGTTGGACATGTGGGATCTGGCTCCCAATGCAGTGCTTAACTACTGTGCTATGGGGCAGGCATCTTTAAAAAAAAAAAAATCTAACCTCACACTACTTAATCCATAAATATTTCACGTAAGTATTCCTAAGAGATAAGAGCTTAAAAAAAACAAAACAAAACAAAACAAAAAACCATAATACTCCAAAGTAAATGACAGTAATACTTCAGTACCATCTAAAACCCAAAATTCCCTGAATTGTTTCAAAGTAACTTTTCTTAATCCATACAAGATCCACATACTGCGCTCGGTCATTTGTCCCTCAAATCTTAACGGTTTTCATTGCACTTTTCACCTTTTTACCCTCTGTGCCAGTTATCTGTGGAAGAAACTAGGTAATTTGCCTTGTAGAATTTTCTTCCCATATTCTGGCCTGTGCTGATTGCGCTTTGATAGCTTTCATTTAATGGGTCCCTCTGACTCAGATTTCCCGGAAACTAGTGGCTGCATTTAGAAGCTAAATTGATGCAGGTAAAACTACCTGTGACAGCATATTTCACAGGATATCACATACCTCCAGAGTATCACCACAGGAGGCATGAGATGTCAGCTTCTCACTCAGACCAGTCAGTGGGCTGAGCCCAGGCGAGGGGTTACCAGCTTGCTCCGCCCACCCATCATAAATTTCCCAGGCGCCTTTTCACCTTAATATGTTAGCAGTCATTGGTAATCATTGCTTAGAGCGACATTTCTCAAACTCAGCTCTACTGACATCTGGGGCCAGATAATCACTGCTGCGGAAAGCTGCCTGGTATGTTCAAAGATGTTTACAACATCTTGGCCTTCACTTATTAGATGCTACCTAGAAGTCATTCCTCCAGCTGACAACACAAATGCCTCTAAGACATCTGTCCCCTGAGGGTGATGGCATAATCCCCGTTTAAAACCACAGGTGTACTCCCACTAGTTCAAAAGAGGTGGCAAAAATAGTGATTTTATTTTCAACTAGTCATTCGTTTTGTATTTATTAGCTGTGATTTTCCTACAAAGAATTACAAACAGCAAATGACTTTCCCTGGATCGTGGTCTGCTTAAAACATAAAGAAGCAACTTTTAATTCTTTTCCTTTATCTATTTTCAGAGCAACAAGTCCATGATTCAGCAATCTCTAGGGTAAACAATTAGTTGTTTTTTTTTTTTAATTATCATTAAAAACACTTTTCATGTGTTTGATGCAGTTCAGTAGACTGTAGTTGTGATTTTCGCTGCTCCAATTGTCCTCTCTTTGGCTAATCTGAGCCCTTTCCAAACTGGCTATTTCATTGTCACGATCCCAATAATTCCTTGATGGTTTCTTTGCTTTCAGGCGTTACAAGATGGTCCATGTTCGTCTTGTTCACTTCCTGTTCCGGTGCTGCTATTCTGCCATCTTTCCTGAGACCTTGTATTCAGACACTGCATTCTGGAAATAAGGGATACTAATTGCTACAAGACTGTGATTGCTTCTAAGTCATTACAGTGTACAGAGTTAGAAAATATTTTTTCTTTAAAAACTTCATCAGAATTTAGTTCATACTGATATTTCAGATTCAAAATATAGATTTTAGAGTTTTAATTTAGCTTCTTTATTTTATTTCTTTCTCATTAGAGAATGATCCTTGATGTGCTATATTCTAAAAACTGCCTAATTTAACAAGAATGTTTACTCTGACAGGTTTTTTAAATTCTTTGGTTAAAAAATAAAACATAACTTGTATACAAGATTTATCTTTTTTAAAAAAGTATATGTGTGTGTGTGTGTGTATATATATATATATATATATATATGGGAGAAGAAAGTGTATGTGTGTCAGTGCTGTGGTGGTTAAGGTGCCAGATCCCACAAAACCAACTGCATGGTTTGAATCCTGAACCTAGCAGCTTGAAAAAACACAGCGGATAAATGTGTATGTGCGCCCAAAAATGCAAGAGGAGAAAGGAGGAAAAAGGACTGCAGTGTGGCCATCTGTCCTGGGGAGTAATTTCTCACTTCTTCTATTTTTGTGCATGTGCCCTATAACAGAAAGCTAAAAATAAATGAATAAATATACTTTCTCTTGCTAAAATTCCTCTAATCTCATTAGAACTGTCCAAAATGTAGTAAGTGCTCAATTTACTTTATTGAAAAGTGAGGATAGTAAATATGTTTCTCTCTTATAATAAAATATATGGTTGATAATGAAATGTGTCATATATAAAAAGCTTTTATGATTACTAAAGAGATATGCAGACTAAACTATTTTTAGGGACCAGCAGATGGGGTAATGGTTGCTGGACTCTCACATTGCCATCCACAGTTCAAGTCCTGGACCCAGAGGCTTGAAACTCACACCAGTTGTGTGTGCATGCACGTCCAAAATCCCAAGAGAATGGAAGAGAAGGGATTGGGTGTGGCCATTCCCTGTGGAGGTGATTTGTCACTTTCTGTCTCTCTGGCAAGTGCACATGCCCTGGAACAAAAGTATCTCGAAAAAACAAAAAAACTATTTTTACTATGATACTCAATAATTTAGAGCAACAATGAAATTGTCTACCACCAAGAAAGCCATCAGAATATAAGTATTGTTCGATACTAGGTTAAGTAAAAACCTATCAATCACATTCCTATGCCTTGTTCTTCTGCATCACCCACAATATAAAACAACGCTGGCAGATATGAAGGCCTGTAAATATTTGCTTTTGAATATCCAAAATTAAGCAAATACCCATCATTCATAAACCAATTTGAAAAGAAGCTCTGAAAAACTGAAGATGAATTGGGACTAAAATGAATTTAGATTCAAGTAGGAATAGCGCATGACGAAAAGCGCTCCCTTGGGTAATCAATTAATCATGGGAGTGGGAGTACAGTTTTCCATATTTAAAATAGGAGGTTGTGCCAGTACTAGAATCTTAAACTAGCAGCGAGGCCCTAACACATACTGTTTAACTCTTAAGAACGTTCAGTTTGTTGGCAACATTTAAGACATTTAACAATTTCAGTATAAAATAGGAGAAAGAAAAACTGTTTTTCAAGTCTGGATCAGTTTATGCATCTCGATAACAGGCTGCATCTGAAACAACTGCCCATGCTTGTGAGGACACTCAGCCACACTCCCCACCGCAGCCAAACTCTGATTACCAGCCACCTCATTCATTTCACTCGCCTGACCTCACAGGCCTATAGCATGTGTTTGTATCACAGGTTAAATTTTTGTAAAGAAGATTTTTTTTTTTTGAGAGAAAGAGAGACATGTGACAGCACAGGAGGAAGAGAGGGAAAGAAATAGGTTTTGCTTTGGTTTGACTTGACTTTTGCTATAAGGCGCGTACACTAGCCAGAGAGAAAGAGAGAACATGAGGAATCATGTCCCAGGAGGATGGCCACATCACAATCACTTCTCCTCTAGTCTCCCTGAGATTCTGGACACACCTCACATGCATATGCTCTCAGTGTGACTTTCAAGTCACCGGGATCGAACCATGGTTGGCCATGTGGGAGTCCAGTGACAACCATTATCCATCTGCAGGCCCAGAGACAGGCATTTTTGACAGGCACTTGTTGCCATCCTCTGCCCAGCCTCTCTGGCCAGGATTGTTGGCACACGCTAACATACCTGTCCTGTTCAAGCTGATCTGGGATCCAAACTCAGGCTTCTCATGTGTCACTTACTCACAGAACAGTACCCTACCACTTGTGCCACGGAGGCTGGGACTGTAACCCAGATTTTTAAGCTATGCTTTAGAATACCAACACTGTGGGCCAGCAGGTGGTATGCTGGTTGAGGTGCTGAACTCCCAAATGGCTCACCACAGTTTGCGTGCCAGAGCTGGGAGCTTGCTCTCTCTCTCTCTCTGATGAGCACATGTGCCCTACAGCAAAATTTTAAAAATAAAAATAAATTAAGTAATTCTTTTTTAAAAAAAGAATAAAACTGACATTCAGAATAGGCTCACTTCTTTTTTTTTTAAAGAGGTTTTATTTTATTTATTTATTTATTTTTTTTTGCTATAGGGCGCGTGCGCTCGCCAGACAGAGAGATAGAAAGTGAGAAATCACCCCACAGGGGGGATGGCCACACCGCAATCCTTTCTCCTCCATTCTCCTCTCTGGATCTTGGGCACGCACGCACACATGCCCAGCGTGAGTTTTAAGCCACCGGGTCCGGGACTTGAACCGCGGTTGACTACGTGGGAATCCAGTGACATAGCCATTACACTAACTGCTGGTCCCTACGCTCACTTCTTTTCTTCTTGTTTATTTCTTTTCTTATTTATTTCTTTACTTAAATTACCAAAAGGCACATGTACTCATCAGAGATAGAGAGATTGAGAAAGAGGGGGAGGGAGAAAACACCCCCTCAATGGGTGTGCTCACAACACACTGCCTTCTCTTCCATTCTCCCTCCTGTCAGGATTTTGACACACATGCACATGCAACTGGCATGCTTTTTGCCTTCTCTTCCATTCTCCATTCTGTCAGGATTTTGGTACATATGCACATGCAGCTGGCATGCTTTTTAAGCCATGGGGCCAAGAATTGAACTGCAGTCAGCCATATGGGATCCAACTCCCTTAAGCACTAGGCTCTGAGGCTGCCTCACTTTTATTTTCTGTACTGCATATTGGGGTTCCACTACCAAAATGGGAAACTACTGGTCTGTAAAGTTTCTTTCGACATTTAACATTCTATCCCTCATACAACATCAACACAGCTCAGAATATAGGAAGAAAGGCAGAAGTGTCATCAAACGAGTTCTACCTGTGAATTTGATCTTGTCTGCTTGACCGTACTGGAGCTAAGCCATCGATTTCGTCAAAGAAAATAATTGATGGGCGCATCTGATATGCCTAAAAAGCAGGTCCAGTGGTTGTATGTTATAAAACGGCTCAAATATGTAGATTTAACATAAACCATTTTAACCTATTTTCACTCAAACTGGCTTTGCAGAACTTATTTATAACTGTTTATAACTTATAAGACTATATATAAATTCTAAGATTTTTAAATTTAAAAAATTAATTTTAAAAATTTTAATTTATTTTATACATTTAACCACTATACATCACTTAGCTTGTAAAGTGAATTTACCCAGCATGAATACACTTTGCACCAGTCCAGTTGAGGATACTATACACGTTATCATCAATAGATAAAACATTCCAAGCTTTAAGGACTCAGAATAAATGATAAAAACAGCTTAATTTTATTTGCATTTTCAACTGGAACTACTTAAAATACATATTCCACTGGTTGTAGATCTTACATTTTACATAACATAGATCATGCAGGACATACACACACAAATTTATAAAAGACTAACTTTTAGAACAAGGCAATAAATAGAAGATAGTGGGAATGCATCATTTAGCAAGATGGCATGGTTTTTCTCTCTTTGAGTAAACACAATTTACAAACCTCAGAGTTCCAAAAAGATTTTTAAAAAATTTTTTGCTATAGGGTGTGTACGCTTGCTGGAAACAGAGAAAGGGAAAGTGAGAAAGTACCCCCAGAGGGGATAGCCATGCCACAATCCCTACTCCTCCATTTTCCTCTCGTAATTTTAGGCATGCACACATGTACACATGTCCAGCATGTTTTCCAAGTTGCTGAGTCCAGGACTCAAACCACGCAGTTGGCTGTGTAGGATCCAGGCATCTTAACCATATCATTGGCTGGTCCCCAAAAGAGATTTGAAAGGATCTGCAGCACCATTCCCTAGTAGATCAGAGCATATTATCTCACAATGTGCTGTTGATGCAATCTAGGATATGAAACAAACTAGTTTTTCATTCCCATACAGGGAAATAATTCACTGCTACTACCTAAGTGTGAGACCACTGGTCTCTAGGCATGAGACCTAAGATTCTAAAGAACTTCGATCCAGAGACCAGCAGATGGCGTAGTGGTTACCTTGCTGGGCTCCCGCACAGTAGACCACAGTTCACATCCTGGACCTGGCAGTTTTAACTCACGCCGGATGCATATGCGTGTGTGCCCAAGATACCAAGAGGAGAATGGATTATGGCATGGCCATCCCCCCAGGAGGTGGGGATGATTTCTCGCTCTCTGTCTCTCTGTCTCTCTGGAGAGCTCACACACCCTTATAGCAAAAGCCTCCCTTAAAAAAAAAAAAAAAGAAAAACAAAGAACTTTGATTCAATTATTCCTTTCTCTTCTTCCTATATAACTAACTGTTCACTGTAGGTTGATGTTATCTTGACACAAAATAAAATAACCTAAAAAGATGATGCTTCTGGTCTAATTCTTCTAAGTTTATTTCTGTGAAAAGTAATTAAATGCAAATTTATCTAATCCCTACATATTTATATTTGCACAGAATATAGACCTATCTGGAAAATGTTTAATATCATACCTGGTCAAACAGCAATCGCAGCTGTCTTTCAGATTCCCCTACCCATTTACTCAGACAGTCAGCGCCTTTCCTCATGAAAAACGCCACTCTTTTATCCCCTTGAGTGCACTCATTGGCAAGTGCTCTAGCGACCAGAGTTTTCCCAGTTCCAGGTGGGCCATAAAACAAACAACCTCTGTAAAATAACCGGGTATTTTAGTAGCATGTCAAAACAAAAATCAGGAATCAATTTCATTAATGCACTTAATTAGTTAATAAAAAAAGTATAAGACAACTGAAACATAGCTTCATTCCACAATTTAAAATCTGGGAGTTAATATTGATACTATCAAATTAATATTAAAACTAAATAAAATTTGTTTAGAACATTTTATTTATTCATCACGCTTATATCCTTACCTTGTATATATAATCATAACACAATCATGTAATTTAATTTTTATGGAAAAATCTATGTTGGAAGAAAGGAGAAATGTAGAGAGTATACCAGAAAAGTTTGGTGTTTCTGAAATTCATTAAACATTTAAGCAGGTACTTCCAACATTTCCTATCAGAATCACATGCTATTACTTAATATTAGAACCTTTCTAAGTTTAAGGTGAAGTGATTTCTCACTTTACCTCTCACTCTCTGGTGAAGAGAGAAATGTAGGAAAAGAGATTATTGGCTGACCATTCCCTTTGACGGGTGCTCCTCCTCCAATCCCCATTTCTCTCTAGCGAGTGTACATACGCTTTGGCAAAATTTTAAAAAACAAAACAAACAAAACACGAGAAGAACCAAGAGTAAGAGAGCAAAAATTCTGGCTAAATTTAAAACTATAATTAAATTACCTGGGGGGTTGAATTTTGAATTTTTCAAAGACTTCTGGATAAAGTAATGGAAATACCACCATCTCTTTTAGAGCTGCAATATGATTGGACAGACCACCAACACTATCAAATCGTACCTGGCAATGGAAGAGCACATTGGCATTCTTAAATTTGGAGTCAAAATTATAATGTTACCCCACCCCACTCCTATTACAAAGTAGTAGTATCTTAGTTGTGGTCTAAGGTAAAAAATATAAAATAAATGTCTGTAAATTTTAAAGTTTCTGATTAAAAGATAAAACTGGTTTAAAAAAAACTTCAAGACTAAAGCAAGTAACATTATAGTTCAAGCAGACATGGCAAAACGGTACTCACTGAAGAATCTACTTGCATTGGATCAACATCAGCAAGGCTTGCTCCGATTTTCATTCGATCTTTATAGATGCCTTTTAATTCATCTTTCCGAAAATTTAGCGGAAGGCATCTATTTAAAGACAGTTAAGAACAAAAAAAAAAAACAAAAAAAAACACATGTCCATCAACACACCCTCCTCCATAAATTCCATGTTGGAATATAGACATTAAAACTTTTTCTTAAATTACATTTTCAAAAAAGACCCATCTCATAGCATAAACCTTCCCCCCCCCAAAAAAAAGACCCATCTCAAGAAAATTAAAATATTCTCACTTTTATCATAAGTTCAGAACTTAAGGGTTAGAAATTTTTATGTCTGGGGCCAGGTGGTGGCACAGAGTAATGGAACTGGATCTACACAGGAAGGCCCAGGCTTGTGTCCTAAGATCTCCCTGGCATGCTGGGTGCACGCGTGTGTGCTCATGATTCAGGCTGGCTGAGGCTGGGGGTGAACTGCTGCATAAAGACTCTATTGGGGGTACTTGTCTTTGTCTCCACCACTCATGGAAGAAATAAGTGAATAAACTTAAAAAAAATTATATCTTTAGACATATAATCAAATGAAAATATCAAGTTATCAGCATACCAAAAACATGATAAAATAATTCATGGTCAAGAGTACAGATGGTACTAATGCAAATTATAATGATTATGTCTAATATATAGAGCGTTTTTACCATTTGCCAGATACAATTTTAAGTGTTTTACATCTATTAGCATTACTCCTCACAGCCTTATGAGGTATTATTATTTTTCCTATTTTAAAAGAAAACCAAGGCATATAAAGGGTAATTAATTTGCCCCAAGCCATCCAACTAGTAAGTGGCAGGGCCAAGAATCAAACATAAGCAATCTGTCTCCAGATCTGTGATAATTCTTTGCAAAATATTCAGTCTACCAGCATTTGGTCCACACCAATTTTCAAGCAAGAATTTATCACAAGCTTCATAATATTTTTTCAGAAACAATTACAGTAGGTTGCAAAGAAGATACCTAGAAGAACCAACTCATTTAATAGATGGAAAAAAGAAATTACTGGAACCAGCAGATGGCATAATGGTTACGTCACTGGACTCCCACGTAGTTGGTGCAGTTCAAGTCCTGGACACAGTGGCTTAAAACTCATGCATGCCCACAATTCTGAGAGGAGAATGGAGGCAAAGGGACTGTGGCATGGCCATCCCGCCTGGGGGTGACGTTTCTTGCTTTTTGTCTCTCTGGTGAGCACACATGCCCTTTAGCAAAATCTCTCTTAAAAAAAAAAAAATTACTTCTTAGAGAAAACTATTTGGACCAGAATGCCTAAGCAAAAAATGACTGCTGTAACCGAACACAAGTAAAAGCACATCAAGCTCACCCCAAGGGGCAATCCCCGCTAGTCCCAAACTCTTTGAAGAATGTATATAGTGAAATCTATGATGGACAAGTTTTTAGCTATTACTTCTTAAGGAGTATTTCTCAAATAATTCATAGAAATATCACAGAATACATAGGATTAGATGTACCTTTCTATGAATGAAGGCAAATGATAATCTAAGCTGTAACTATACCAGCTTTCTGATAGCTTACTCATAGATGTCCAACAGACATGAAATGCAAGTCACAAAAATAATTTTACATTTTCTATTAGCTACCCTAAACAAAGAAAAAAAAGTGAAATTAATGTTAATAATGCATTTATCTTAATATAGCTAAAGTATTATCATTTCGACATGCAATCAATTATTTTAAAAACAGGTATTTTAAATCCTTCTTTTTGGTACTAATTCTTTGACATCCAAGTACATATTTTACACAGAAACTTACGGTACATCTCAACTCAGACTATGTTTCGAGCACTCGATAACCACAGGCTACTGCACTAAATGAGGAAGCTCTAACATGATTCAAGAACAGAGGTTAGGGTACAGAGAATAACTGCTCATGTCTCTTGGATTATTACGTTCCAATGGCTTTGTCAAGCACTGGTTTCTAAACTAAGAATATTTTATTATTAGAATGTAAGTACCACCTTTTTGGTCACCCAACTACCTGTAAAATGAAAATAATCCTTGCCTTACCTACATCAAGTAACAACTGTGAAAATCAAATGAATTGATCAGTACACAACAGTGAGTTATAAAATGACTAAATCTTTCGATTTTCCTTGAGTCTCACAATAACAATTATTTACTATCATCTAAAAAATACATTTGAAATGGAAAAGAAAATAGCTATTTCCTCAAGTCAGTATTCTTTTTATTTATTTATTTTTAGAAGTTTATGCTATAGGGTGCGTGCGCTCGCCAGACAGACAGAGAGAGACATAGAGACAGAAAGAGAGAAATCACTCCCCAGGGGGGATGGCCATGCTGCAATCCCTTCTCCTCTATTCTCCTCTCTGGATCTTGGGCACACACACACATGCGCCTAGCATGAGTTTTAAGCCACCAGGTCCGGGATGTGAACCGCGGTTGACTACGTGGGAGTCCAGAGACATAGCCATTAGGCTAACTGCTGGTCCCAAGTCAGTATTCAAGTACCATTTTGAAGAATTTATATGACTTGGCAAGAAATCATAACCCTAGTTGTTTTTTTTTAAGAATTAGTTTATCTAACTTTGTTTATTATTATTATTTTAATTTTACCAGAGAGAGAGGAGAGAAAGTGAGAAAGCAAGATGCCAGGTCCAGGACTTGAACCACAGTCAGTCATGTGGGAGTACAGTGGCCCTAACCTGCCGGTCCCATAACCCAAGTGTTCTAACCTATTATTTGTTTCAACTATAGATACTTCTAATAAGACAGTATTCTGGTTTATATATTAAGCTATTATACAACTTTTTAATCAGCTAGGCTATACCTATGCCTAAATTATTGTTTTCTCACCATGGTTTAAAAAAGATAGCTGGCAGTTTCAAAAGCATCAGTGTGGCTCTTACCTGTTGATAGCCCTATTACGGCTCCTTTTCCTTCGTCTCTCAAAGTGCTGTTCGTCTTCAGAAGAGGAAGAGGAAGTGGAGTCGCTGCTATGGATTGCATGCCTTCGCCTATAGGGGAAAACAAAAATCATGATAAGGGAAGGCTGGAAAATTAAACTGAAAACATCAGAAATACGTAATGATCCAAAAGGCTTATCATAAAATTAATACATTTGCTGAAGCACTGAAGTTAAGCTTTGGTGGTTGTGTCTCTTCAAAGGAATTTAAAAACTTACATGCCTGAGAAAAAGGGAAAGACAGGGCTGTGGTAGAGCCGACAACCAAATGTTCAGTACATTATGGGATGGTCCAGGCATGGTATTTTCTTAATCTTGATAAATCAGATATAAGCTGATATAAACCAGAGAAAAGAGGGGAAAGGGGGCGGGACCAGCAGTTAGCGTAATGGCTATGTCACTGGACTCCCACATGGTTGACCATGGTTCGAGTCCCGGACCGGGTGGCTTAAACTCACACTGGGCGCATGTGCATGCGTGCCCAAGATCCTGAGAGGAGAATGGAGGAGAAGGGATTGCGGTGTGACCAACCCCCCTGGGGGGTGATTTCTCGCTTTCTGTCTCTCTGTCTGTCTCTGTCTGTCTGGCGAGTGCACGGGTCCTATAGCAAAAACCTCTCCAAAAAAAGAAAAGAAAAAAAAGGGGGGAAGGGGGAAATGAAATCTTTGAGTCCGTTATTTTAAAAAGTATTCTCAACATCATAAGTATATGAGGGAACTTTAAGAAGTTATGGAAAACTCGAATCAAAGTGCATGTTGAGAGCCAGCCAGTGGTGTGGTGGTCGAGGCGTGGATTCCCCACGGCTGACCGTGCAGCTTAAGACCCAGACCCAGCTGCTAGGAAAAAGCGCTGAGCACAGTGCATGTGTGCCCAAGATCCCAAAGGAGAGTGAAGGAGAAGGGAATGTTACTGTGGCCATCCCCCCAGGTGGGGTGCATTCTCTTTCTCTCTAGTGAGTGCAAATGTACTACCTTCCATGACCAAATCATGACCAGACAGTTTGCTTCAAGGAGACTTCCAAAACTGTTAAAATAGTTAAAATCTCCCAGGAATTCAGTCTTACTTCTAAGCAAATTAATAATACTAGGGAAAAGTAACATTTCCTACATCAATGTAACTTTTTTGCTTCCCTTTTAGTTTTCTCATTCAAGAACTACTATAATGCTACTATTACCCTGACTGTACTAATGCATCAAAAACTATTTTCATTACTGCTCTTTCTGCCATCTTGGAGCCTATGGAGGACTACTGGGGACAGGATTTGTAAAAGGCAACCCTGTCTGGAAGGATGTGCTCCAAGGCCATTTTTGCTGGCTATAAGCGGGGTCTCAGAAACCAAAGGGAGCACACAGCTCTTAAAATTGAAGGTGTTTGGGACCAGCAGGTGGCATGGTGGTTAAGGTGCTGGACACTCCCACATGGCTGACCAAGGTTCGAGTCCCAGACCTGGTGGCTTCTTTCTCACTTTCTCTCTCTCTCTCTCTGTGTCTCTCTTTGGTCAAATTAAAATGAATGAATAAATAAAGTTAAATAAAATAATTCTAAAAAGAAAAAATTGAAGGTGTTTATGCACGAGATGAAATAGAATTCTATTCAGGCAAGAGGTGTGTTTATGTGTACAAAGCAAAAAGCAACACAGTGACTCCTGTTGGCAAACGAAATAAAACCAGAGTAATCTGGGGAAAGGTTACTTGTGCCCATGGAAACAGTGGCATTATTCAAATCAAATTCTAAAGCAACCTTCCTGCTAAGGCCATTGGACATAGAATCTGTGTGATGCTGTACCCCTCAAGGATTTAAAATGATGAAAAGAAATGAATAAAAATGGATTCACGTTGTATTAAAAAAATTATTACTGAGAAGAATGAGGAAATATCAAGAACTACCTCCTTGCTAATTAAATTGTATAGACATGCAACAACTGCTGGGATTTAGAAGGAAAAGAAATCCACAAACAATTCAAATTGTCAATGGAAATGAACATCTTCTACGATGTAAGAAAAACAAGTTAAAGTACATCCAGGAAAGGATGACTGGGATCATGGTAAGTCCAGAAGCAACTGTAACTCAGAACGTTTCACATGGTAGAAAAATATGTCTGTGATTGTATCTGAAGATAGACTAAGGACCAGCAGTTAGTGTAATAGCTATGTCACTGGACTCCCCCGTAGTTGACCGCGGTTTGAGTCCTAGACCCGGTGGCTTAAACTCACGCCGGGCGCGTGTGCGTGCGTGCCCAAGATCCCGAGAGGAGAATGGAGGAGAAGGGATTGCGGTGTGGCCACCCCCCTGGGGGGTGATTTCTCACTTTCTGTCTCTCTGTCTCTGTCTGTCTGGCGAGTGCACACGCCCTATAGCAAAAACCTCTCAAAAAAAAAAAGATAGACTAAACCCAGGCCAACATATGGCAGGGAGGTTGAGGCAGCTGGACCCCACACGGCCAAGTATGCGGTTTGAGCCTCAGACCTGATGGCTTGAAAAAGACGTTGGGCATGTGTGTGCATGCCCAAAATCCCAAGAGGAGAATGAAGGAAAAGGAAATGCAGTTTGGCCATATTCCTCTAGGAGTGATTTCTATTTTCCCTCTCTCCTTTTCTGTCTCTGTCGAGTACACACACCCTAAAAAATTTCTATATATCCCAAAAAAAGGGGGGGAGAATAAAACCTGAATTCTAACTTAATGTGGTGATTAAATAAAACAAATCTGTGTAAAATGCTTAATACAGAGAGCTGGGAATACAGTAAACGCTGAGTTAACAGCAGCTCTATTATTAAAGTATCAAACAACAGAATAAACTACCTTAACAAGGTAGTAACTAACACTTTCTACCAGTGGAACCAAAAGCAGAAACTAGTCATTAGGATTGGAGATCAGAGAATTAAAGGCATAAGCTCCCCCAAATATAGAGTATTAGAATTCTATCCTAATATTCTCAACCTTTAGACTCTATGATCCTGTCCTAACAAAGCCACAATTATGGTCATGTATCAATCACTGTTTCAGAACCAAACCTGTTCATTCGTTTACAATAAGGACTTCTTGGTCCTGCAGAAGATAATCGGTATCTTGGTCTTGCAGGAGAAGCTGGGCCACTATAAAATATGTTGGGTTTTCTCTGGTGACGAGGTTCTGAAAAAAGAAATATATATATAAAACATATAGCTATGTATGAAGGTAACTTTCCTCTTCATCTAAATACTTAAGAAAGTGCTGCCTTCCATTATATGATTGTACAAGTAAATATCTACGATAGAATATTTCACTGTGTTTTAAATCATTTATGTCCTCACAGCTGCTGTTCAAAATATGTACACCAACTAACTAAACCACACACTGTTCATAAACACCCACTGCGATTGTACAGATGCCTAACAGGTATCAGCCCTGCTCACAAGAACTGAGGTACAATGTCAGCATAAATCAAAAGTAGTCCTAGTTTTACAAACTGATAAATAAAGTAGAAATCTCTGCAATCTAAAATAAGGACAGACATAAAATTTCAAAATAAGAGCCCAATTATTTGCTTTGATCAAGGCTAACATTCTTTGGAAAGACTTCTTGCAAAATGTAGGGTAGATTAGGACAACAGTCATGAGTATTAAGCAAATAAAAACATGAAAAATATTTTAAAATAAAGATAATGGGGATCAGCAGCAGTTGGCGTAATGGCTATGTTGCTGGACTTCCATGTGATCGACCGTGGTTCGAGTCCCGGACCTGGTGGCTTAAACTTACACCGGGTGAGTGTGCGTGTGTGCCCAAGATCCCAAGAATAGAATGGAGGAGAAGGGATTGCGGCATGGCCATACCACCCAGGGGATGATTTCTCGCTTTCTGTCTCTCTGTCTCTGTCTTTCCAGTGAGCACATGCGCCCTATAGCAAAAACCTCTCAAAAAAGAAAAAAAAAAAGATAACAGAGGAGAAACAGTAAAAATAAACTAATATAAGTCCATGTCCTCTTAGGGGAGCAATTATACACACACACACACGCACACACACACACTGAGCACTTACTCTCCAACGGAGCCTGGTAGTAAACAGTAGCTTTTCGCTGTCTAAGGTAGTATCGTTTTTGGTTATCTTCTCCGTCTTCTTCATCTTCTTCATCATCATCTTCTTCTTCATCATCGTCATCATCATCTTCTCCATCATCTTCATCTTCTTGGTCTTCACCCTCTTCAGATGATTCTACAATTAAGAAACGTTTAATTCCACAAAGATACTCACCAAAATGTTAACAATTTTTAACATAGGAGAGTTCGGAGAGAAATAGGCACCTTTTAAAATTGATCTACTCCTAGATTGTTCATAGAAAGAACTTTTAATTCTTTTGCAACATTAAATAAAGAGGTTTTAAAATGAAGTAAAAATATGTAGAATTTAAAAATCTAGAGGAAGGACAAAGGGGGAGTAGAGAAATAAGTTGGAAGTCTATTGTTAGTAGGTACCGAAATGGAATTTCCAGTGTTCCTGCAAATTTCATTCATAGCTATACTTAGGCTACCCAGCTAATGTAACATGTTGAGAAGTTTTAACCACCTCCTCTTCTTAGTTTTCATCTTTTAAACTTAAGTTTGGCACTCCATTCAGTCCTTCTGGCTGTCACTGAGTTTGCATGATAATGGTAAAACATCTTTACTCAACAGTTAAATACATTTCAGAAAACTGTTTTTCACTAAAGAAAAGTTTCAATAGATTAAAGTAATAAGTCTTAAAAGAAGAGCAAAACTCAACTTTAATCACTTGTTAACTAAAATGTTAGCAAGATATATGATGTGCTGTCTGTAGACATATCAGCAAACAATGTTATTTGCTTTAGCATTATTGATTTCAATTACTTTCCCGGATAAAACATACTATCCTTTTAAGCTCTCTCTTGAGCCCATTTTTTTCCTTTTAAATTATGACCAATTCTCAGATTGCTCCCAAGTTACTGATCTCTCTCACACAAATTATCACCAATGTCACAGCTTCTGAATAAAAAGGCTATTTCCTTCTAAGTAAAAATATCTTATATTCAAAGCCAGAAGACAGAACAAAAGACTAACCCACACTGCCTTCTTGATTATCAGTTGTTTCTTCATCAGTTCTTTGAACATCTTTTTGTTTTCCTCTTGTGTACATATTAAGATTGCCCTACAAATGTTTAAATAAAAGACATTAACATTTAGTACATATGTTTAATATATATTTATTTTAAAATTATTTATAAAAATATTTCAGTAAGACCCTTCAACCTTGTTTAAAATGAAGACGTTTATAATTATAAACTTACAATTTTAGCAGTAACTAGTGATTAAGCAAACAAATGCTGGACAAACTAATGAATAATTTAGCCAAAAATGGATTAGATATACTACAGATTATTAAATTATCCTTTTAATGGAAAAATATATTTACTTCTTCCGTTTCATTAAACACTCCCAAGTCTTCAAGTTCTCTCATTCGTTGTCTGCGCATCTTCTTCATGTCATCCATTTTTTGCAGTACAGCTTCAGCAGTGCTTTTTAAAAAATGACATAAACATAAGCTAAAATTATAAAAGTAGATTTTTAAAAAAAATTTCTGTCTGTCTCTAGGTCAAGCACTATAGCAAACTAAAAAAAAAATCTTTCATTACAATCTTGTGGTGCTAAAGTTTTAAATATCTGCATAAATATTAGCATAAAAGATCACTGGCTTACTTGCATAAAAATATTTTAATATTTCTTTCTTAAAATTTAAATAAATACATAGAATTATAACAAAGATCTCTAATTCTCCTTTATGCTTTATACAAACTGAATGTGCTAAATGTTCAAGCTGGTAGAAATTCACAGTTCTTCCCCAACAAAAAGCTTTCTGTGGGACCAGCAGTTAGTGTAATGGCTATGTTGCTGGACTCCACGTAGTCAACCACGGTTCGAGTCTCAGACCTGGTGGCTTAAACTCACGCCGGGCGCGTGTGCATGCATGCCCAAGATCCCAAGAGGAGAAGGGATTGCAGCATGGCCATCCCCCCTGGGGGGTGATTTCTTGCTTTCTGTCTCTCTGTCTCTCTCTGTCTTTCTGGTGAGCGCACACTCCCTATAGCAAAAACCTCTCCAAAAAAAATAAAGCTTTTTACCAGCTAAGTCATCTTGATCTAAGGAATGTTTACTTACTTTGTTATAAGTTTGTCAAATAACATGGACTGGTTAACAGCACTATACCGACTTCTAATCCTACAACTGCGTCGAACTTCAACATCACCATTTTCGTGCAAGTGCTTTGCAGTTTGAACAATGTTTCTAGTCCTCAATGACCGAGTAATTGGAATCATTTTGTCTTCACAGATGTGTACATAAAAATAAATAGAAAGATGTGAAATAACAGTATTTATAAAATAATTCTGAAATAAAAAACTGAATATCAACACTGTCATATAACAAAATTATATCTTAACAATAACATCTTTTTTTAAAACAAAATAAAAATATACTGTAACTTTATTTAGAAAAATAAAGTTACAGTATATAACTACCATATGAATCCGCCCTTCTACTCCCAAAAGCAAAGATAAATAATATAAAAACTTCTACAGGAATGTTAAAAGGAGCTTTGTGGTAGACTCAGATTGAAATCTAAGTTCATCAAAAGATAACGAGATAAAAAATTGTGGTGTATGCTTATAATGGAACAACATGGATAAAACTCAAAGTAATTATGCTGAGTGAAAGAAGTCAGACCCAACAAACAAAGGCATACTGGGCCAGCTGGTGGTGGTACAGTGGTTAAGAGGCTGAATTCCACATGGTCGAATGGGTGGTTCAAGTCCTGGACTCAGCAACTTGAAAAGACCATGAGCAAGCGCACATGCACACGTGTCCAAAATCCAGAGAAGAGAACAGAGAGGAGACTGTGGCATAGCCATCCTCTGGGAAGTGCCTTCTCACTCTCCCTCTATCTCTCTTGGGCAAATTAAATTACCCTATAGCAAATTAAAAAAAAAAAAAAAAGCATACCATGTGATTCTACTTACATAAAACTCTAGATAATGGAAACTAATCTATAATAAAAGGAAGCATACTAGTGGTTGCTCAGGAATCTGCGGTGAGGGGTTGAAGTGGGTGGAGAAGTGAGAAGAAGAGCTAGAAGTACCAGGAAGAATTATGAAAAGTCTTAATGAAAATTTTTGTGGGATTGTGGAGGGGAGCGATTATCTTCACTATCTTATTTTGGTGATGGTTTTCATGGCATACACTTTGTCAAAATCTAACAAACTCTAAAATATGTACATTTATTAAAAATATGTAGTTTATTATATGTGTCTCAATAAACCTATAAACAAAATATTAATTACACGTTTTTAAAATCTGAAATACTTTTGACATTACTTACCTTCTTTGCACTCTTCTCTTTTTTTGTCAGCCTGTTGTCTAGCCAACTGCCTACATGAAGAAATAAATAATTCAAAATAATGGACCAAGCTTTTTTTTTTTTGCGAGAGAGATTTTCGCTATATGGCGCGTGCGCTCGCCAGACAGAGACATAGAGACAGAAAGCGAGAAATCACCCCCCAGGGGGGGATGGTCCCGCCGCAATCCCTTCGCCTCCATTCTCCTCTCAGGATCTTGGGCACACACGCACATGCGCCCGGTGTGAGTTTTAAGCCACCGGGTCCGGGACGTGAACTGCGGTCGACTACATGGGAGTCCAGCGACATAGCCATTACGCTAACTGCTGGTTCCCTGGACCAAGCTTTAAACCCTTTTCTATAATACAAACTAAGACAAAGAGTCAGCCTGGAGAATAAATACCCAAAGACCAAGAAAACCTAAAAGGCACTGAAAAACTAGTTTGAGAATATCTGTGTTTATACACAAGTTTAAATATCACTTCAGAGGTTTTGTAAATGCCTTGAAGACCATCCCCGATCACTGGAACCTAGCAAAGATGCTACGATCAAAGGAATATATAGACCCTGACTACAAGGCACAGTTACTCAGATCTTTCTGTATTTTTCTAAGAATATATCCATCTTGGTCTGATCTTTGAGAACCAAGCAGATTGAACACTATCTTAATGTACCAAGGGAGGTGTACTCAGGAAAGTATTCAGATGTGAATGTAGAACCTTCCTAGTGTCAGCCTAGTAGGTAGTGAAGAGATGACTGCAGTGAAGCACACTGGAAATCATGAAAAGGATAAGGAAATGTACATAAAGCAGAGCCTATAAACACTGTGGGCTGTTTTATATAAGGTCTATACAAACAGATAATGATATTACTACATGTAAAATAACAAAACAGTATTTATAATAATGATCTGAATAAAAGGAGAGGTTTTATTGGGGGGTGGGGGGATTTTTACTATAGGAAGCGTGCACTCGCCAGAAAGACAGAGACAGAGAGACAGAAAGCAAGAAATCACCCCCCAGGGGGATGGCCACGCCACAATCCCTTCTCCTCCATTCTCCTCTCAGGATCTTGGGCACACACGCACAAGGGTCTGGCGTGAGTTTAAGCCACTGGGTCCAGGACTTGAACTGCAGTTGACTACATGGGAGTTCAGCAACATAGCCATTACACCATCTGCTGGTCCCATGGAAAGGATTTTTATATAACAAGTATCCCCCAGAACCAGGCTGTGGTGTGGTGGTTAAGGCAGCCAAGTCTCACATGGCCGACTGCACACGACTTGGGAAACACAGAGTGTGAGTGTGTGAGCCCACAATTCTGAAAGGAAGGAGAAATGAAGAAGGGACTGCAGTATGATCATTTCTCAAGGGAGTGCTTTCACTTTCCCTCTCTCCCTCCCAGGTGACTGCACATACCCTAGGTCAAAAGGGGGAGGGTGGGAAAGGGGAAGGAGGAAAGAGGGAGAGAGAAGACAAAGTATGTATTATGAAAAAACTATGTGTGAATTTCAGAATTTTCCACCAAAATAAACTCGTACTTTAATTACATTTTTCTACTAATTTTTCTTAAAGTATTTTTTCAAGTTTGCTTCTTCCACGAGTGAAGAGAAAGACAGAAACAAGGAGACGGCAACCTAATAGGATCCTGATGCTGTGATCTACCCCCAACTTCCGTCAGCCCCAGACCACGGGTGCACTCATACTGTGTGTGCTCAGTGAGGTCTCAGATGTGAACTTGGAACCTTCTCACGTGAGTCAGCCTAGCAGAGCACTGAGTTTTACTGCTGTACCACCATCTACCCCCTATTCATCTACAAACTTCGAGGTCCCCTCATATACCAAAAAGAATCAAAAACCTATATCCACACAAAAATTTGCCTATCAATGTTCATATAATTATTCGTAATGGCCAAAAAATGGAAATAATCCAAATACCCATCAGCTGATAAATAAACAGAACATGATATATCCATGCAATAAAAGCTTTTATCCCATTTCCTATAGACACAATTATACTTATTTGTGGGGTACAATGTGATTTGTCAACACAGAATGTATTGTGTGTTGATTAAGTCAGAAGCACTGATGGTACACCCATCATCTCAGGGAAAATGCAAAATCCTCATTTTCAGTTACTCTGAAATACACAGTAAATTGTTTACTGCATTTTATAACACCAGATTTCATTCTGGTCTATCTAGAATTTTGTTTCCATTAATCAAGATCTGTCCTTCCCCCAATTCTTTCTAGAATACAGTAGTCATTATCTGATTCTACTTCTTGAGGTATTTTTTCCCCCACTTTCCACATGAAAGAGAACGTCTAGTATTTCTCTCTTGGCACATGGTTTATTTTACTTAACATAATGTCCTCCAGGCTTATTTATTTGGCCTCAAATGACAAGATTTCATTATTTTTCCTGGTTGAGTTGTATTCCATTGTGTATTTCCTTGTGACTCACACATCTTCTTCCTCCATTCATGTGCTAATGGACAGTTAAGGATCCCATGTCTTAGCTATTGTGAACTGCACTGCAGTAAAACTGGTGCAGATATCTTTATGACACACTGATTCCTTCCCTTCTGATATATGCCTAATAGTTAGATTACTGGATCATAGGGCAGTTCTAATTTTAGGAACTGTTTGCTTTTTTTTTTAAGGAACCATCATACTGTTTTTCATAAAGGCTAAACTAATCTACACTCCCAACAATACATAAGAGTTGGGACCAGCAGTTAGCGTAATGGCTATGTTGCTAGACTCCCACATAGTTGACCGCAGTTCGCGTCCCGGACCGGGTGACTTAAAACTCACGCCAGGCGTGTGTGCGTGCGCACCCGTGATCCCGAGAGGAGAATGGAGGAGAAGGGACTGCGGCATGGCCATCCCCCCGGGGGGTGATTTCTCGCTTTCTGTCTCTCTGTCTCTCTCTGTCTGGTGCTTGAGTGGACGCGCCCCATAGCAAAAACCTCTCCAAAAAAAAAAAAAAAGGAAACGAAAAAATAAAAAAAACATATAAAAGAGTTCTCTTTTCTCTGCATCCTTGTCAGCATTTTTCTCCATATAAAGAACTATGAACTGCACCAACCAACCTTATCAGTTGCACCTATACATATTATAAATACCATTTTGAACAAGAAAATAAAGACAAGCAACTGTATATATGTTAATTTTTAATTCAATTATTCATTTGTGACAATTTCATTTCAAATAAATATTTTATTACCTAAAAATCTAGATAACTAGTCAAGAATACTTCTAAAATTAAACCCAATTCCCAAATTACTACTATTTTGAATTACTGCTTGACCATCTTGATTTACCTTGTAAAATGCCTGCCATTCGTATGTTTCTCTGTTATTTCCATATTCTTATCAAAACTAGAATCCGAAGAAGTCTGTGCATTCTTCCTCAAAGATCTTAAAGCAGGTGTCCGGTGGAAAGTTTTGACTTCCTTAACTGAAGATCCATCCTTTAATAAAAATTAAGAAAGTCACTAAGTTTTTCTTAATTGAAAATTAAAAGTTTTACTTAGTTAAAAATCCTCAACTTAAACTCCTAAGAATTTCTGATTACAAGTCAGTAACATTTACTTTTCATGTAGAATCATTTTGCATCTCCAAGAAACTAAACAATCAGTTCATGATAAATGAATAGCAAGATTCTCTATGAAATACCTAATATAAAATATGTTGGCTATAAGTTCTATTTCATAACAAGTAGTCTAGAGTGAAGTTTCTTACCACGCGATCAACTGCAGTTCAGACCTGGGCTTGCCTGTGTGTGCACGCCCCCAATTCCGACAGATGGAGAAATGAAGGGAAAGGGAATGCAGTGTGACCTTGCCTCATTGTGGGATGTTTTCTCCCTCTCTCTCTCTCAAGCAAGCACACTTATCCTCTAGCGATTAAGTACAAAGCAGACCAAAAAAACCTAATAGTTTGGGCTGGCTCCTTAGCACAGCAGTAATGCAAAGCTCAAGAGAAGCCTGGTCCCACATGCACCGTCACTGGAATCCCTGCCTGGTCAGCCTGATCACACTTGGGCATGAGCACAGGTGCCCAAGCTCTGATCTGCCGAGCTAGAGGACTGGAGGAAGGGGATCGAGTATGGCCAAACCTGTGGAGAGCGTTCACATCTCTTACCCTCAAGTGCACGTGCATATGCTCTATCACAAATAAAATTAAATAGATACAAAGAAAAAATTTTAATTGTAACAGTTCATGATAGTAGGTACTCATGTATTTTAAGGCGACAGAAACTAGAAACACCTAAGAAAGATACATGCAAGCACACACTCACACACAAATAAAAGAACAAACATTACCTGGCACCCGACCACTGGTAGCAACCTTAAAGTAACTGGACTATCAGAATTAAAATTCTGGTTTGGATGAAGTAAAGTTAACTCTACCTGTTTTTCCCAATTTCATGCAACAGCAGAATTCAAAAACTGTTGAGGTATACTTACCTGTTGTAAATACCACAGAGCTTCATGCACTTTTGTTTTTATTCAATAGACTAGAAGCTCTCCAAGGCAGTATGCTACTTTGTGAGTTATAGAGAGGTTCTATCATAAAGTATTCAAAAGTTCATACACACCTCTCTGAAAGCACATAAAGTGTATTTTTACACTAGAAGTCATGTAGAAGGCCAGCCCTATAGTACAACAATTAAGATGTGCAGAGGTAGTCAGATCCCACATGGCCAATCACAGTTTGAATCCTAGCCTCTGCAGCTTGGGGAAAAAAAAAAAATAACACACTGGCCTTATACATGCATGCATGCCTAGCAAACTGACAGAATGAAGAAATAACAGGGGAAAATCTGTGGCATGACCAGGCCTCATTCTCCCTCTCTCTTTCGTGCGTGCATATATGCTATCTGGCCACAAAAAAACCCCCAAGAAAATCAAAGGTACAAAACAACTCTATAATTCAATGTCTTACTACTCCAAAAACTGATCACTTTAAAACTCAGGCAATGTTTTAGGGGGAAAAAAACCAAAAAACCCCAAAAAACAAAAAACAAAAAACAAAACCACTCCCTGTCTACCTCCCCAAGGCTGGCTTTAATGTGTTACCTTATTTTGTTTTACCAAGGAATTTAATTTTGTTTTGGGAAGAATACTTGCTTGGTTCACAAAAAATAAGAATATTTAGACCACAAAGATTTGTGTAAAAACTAGACAAGTACTTCTTGAAACATTAAATGCATATGATTTATTACCACTTTTGTCATTGTACCTATTATTTAAGAATACTTGGAAAAAAGAAAAAGCCTACACCGTATGTAAGTGTATTATTCTTAAAACATAGATGTACATCTTAGATTGGTGTAGTGTGACATAAGACTTGCCAAAAAATATTTCAAAGGAATCTATTTCCTGATTCTCAACTTCCATAAGCAGTCTTTCATAAACCTGACCTGCCTGAAAAGACACAATGAATTCCATTCATCTACCTTCCTCCTATTTTACAAAAGAAAGTCCTTCCTCCCACCAGTTCTGAATCTCACCATTATGGAGTGCCTCAAGGCATCAAAAACCTTTATAAAGTCAAAGTAAAAATATTGATGAAAGTGTTTAGAAACTGAATGACTAAGCAAGACAACAAATCCTTATCCATGTTTAAAATTCTTTGCTTTTAACAAAATTGAAAAACGTTAATAAAGCTAAGAGACCATTGAAAATAATTTTAGGCAAGTAATTTTTGATGTGCAAGCCAGGAAAACCGAGTGGAGGAGATAACAAAACTCCCTGCATTACTATCTACTTCCATGAACAGTGTTTTGCAGCGCTTACATTTATAAAGAGAGAGCTACAGCAATAAAATACACCACAGATACATGAATTAATCTCATGGAATCTAAAGAAATCTCACCTTCTATGTTTAACCATTTTAAATCAAATTAGGCATGTTTTTGTTGTTTTGATGGATTAAGCATTTAGTAATTATGATAACTTAATTCACAAAAATTTTTTCTTAGAAATTTGTGTTCACAGAAAAGAGGAAAAAAACATCAAATTTTGTTTTAAAAGTATGAAATGATAATTGATTAATGACTTTTAATCATGAAAATATACATATATTTTTTTTTTTGCTGGAGAGGTTTTCGCTATAGGGCGCTTGCGCTCGCCAGACAGAGAGAGACATAGAGACAGAAAGCGAGAAATCACCCCCCAGGGAGGATGGTCATGCCGCAATCCCTTCTCCTCCATTCTCCTCTCAGGATCTTGGGCACACATGCACACATGCCTGGCGTGAGTTTTAAGCCACTGAGTCCGGGACACGAACTGTGGTCGACTACATGGAGTCCTGCGACATAGCCATTATGCTAATATTTTCATGGTCCCCATGAAAATATTTTTTATTAAGATAAAATCCTGTGCATTAAATGGATTAAAAATGCAGATTAAGGGCCAGTATGTGCCAAGATGACTGAGGTGGCTGGATCCCACAGGGCCAAGTATATGGTTCAAGTCCTAGACCTGGTGACTTGAGAGAGACAGTGGGCCCACTTGCATGAGCTTTCTCTCTTTCTCTCACTCCCTGGCAAGTCCACACATCCTCTGGTGATTTTTTTTATTAAAGAGTAAAGAATCATGGTAAAATTACTAAATGCTAAAAGAGCTTGTTTAGGTATTTAACATTCCACAACCTATCAAACAATTGTTTTTTAGTTCCCAGTGGATACATGTGAAGTCTGACATAACAATTTCATTTTTTTTAAAGGTTTTTGCTATAGAGCTCATGCACTCACCACAGAGACAGAGAGAGACAGAGAGACAGAAAGCGAGAAATCACCCCCTGGGGAGATAGCCATACCGCAATCCCTTCTCCATTCTCCTCCCAGGATCTTGGACACGCACACACATGTGCCAGGCGTGAGTTTAAGCCACCAGGTCCTAGACTCGAACCACTGTCAACTACATGAGAGTCCACCGACATGGCCATTATGCCATCTGCTGGTCCCTTTATGATATTCTTAGCTACATGATTCAACTTTTTCTCGCCTTTAAAATACAACCATTGTTTCAAATCTCTGTAGTTCTTTGTGTTTTGCTGGGCCTCAAAGATACGTATCCTAATCTCTTATCAAATTCTGATATAGTATTCTCAATAGTCTACTGCTCTCCTCTTTAGCTGGAAACAACACTGTCTTCTCTTCCTGTATCTGAACGATTCTCAGACCCCCTTTCCTGTATTATGTGTCATTTCTCTCCCCATTCCTATTACTATAACCCTAATTTTAACTCTAGTGTTCTTTGTTTTGTCTATTGTGTTAACTGTGCTTTAATTAAGAACCAGAATTCTGGTGACAGAATGCCTACTTTGATTTTTGGCATGTCACTTAGAATTGTGTAATCTTACGTACATTACCTAAGCTCTCTGTGCTTTAGTTTCCCATACCTCATGTAACATCAATGAATAACGCAACCACGTGTACTGAGTGTAAGACACCCCCTCATACCCGTAATGAGGAAAATAGGTACTTCACAGGGCAAATACATGTGTTGATCTATTAGATACTGTCTGGTACGTACTACTTACATAGCAGTTGCTACTACTGTTATCTGTTAACCAGTCTTCTAAGCTCCAGATTGGTTGATTGTAATCTAACCTTAATATTATTTCTTGAGATTTCTGTCCTAACTTCTGCTTTCTTTATTTTTATAATTGCTGGAAGGCATGTAAACACAACAAAGAGAGACAGAGAAAGGGAGAGAGAAAGAGAAAGCACCCCGATGGGGTGTGACCACATCACACTTCCTTTTCCATTTCTTTATCCTGTTGGGATTTGGGGTACACATGTACAAATGTTTTTCAATATGCTGAGGCCAGGATTTGAAGTGTAGTCAGCCAGGGGAAATGTGGCTACCTTATCCACTAGGGAACAGGGCCAGCCCAGCTGCTCTATGCTTTCTAAGCTGCAACTTCTAAACCGAAAATCGTGGGCCCTTTCTGTTATATGTGTGAATGCAGAGTGACCATGTTGTCATTCTCGAGAGCACATTCATTGCCACATGTCAGAATCTCCCTATGTATGCTTTGTCACATTTCGTTGAGGTGTATGCTTTTCATTTTTCAGCACTGTGTTATACTTCAAATTTTAAGAAAATCTGTATGTTGTATACATCAATGTTGAGTTTAGAACATTTTTTTCAGACTTTTAAATAAATAAGTAGTTTTAAACATAGTTTTTTTAACATGTTGTAGTATGTAGAAGGTACAGTTTTTTTAACTACATACTACAATATGTAGAAGGTACAGTTAAAAACATACTACAATATGTAGAAGGTACAGTTAAAAAAAAACTGTACCTTCTACATACTACAACAGGTTCTTGCTTTTTTATTTTTACCCAACACATGGGAGGATAAATATGTGGGTAGGATCAGTCAATAGCATGGTGGTAAAGGTGGCTGGATCCCACCGGGCAAACTCTATGGTTTGAGTCCATTTACCCACC